ATAAATGAAAAAGAAAGCAAGAAAGAAAGGAAGGAAGGGAGTATGAAATGAATAAAGAAAGAACACCAGAAAGAAATAAAAGAAATGAACGAGCGAAAGAAAGAAATAAATCCAGAATAAACAGGCAAAGTTGGAAAATACGAAAGAGAAAGAACATGAAAGAATCACAGAAACAAAGATACAAGCAATAGGATACTACATAGTCCAATCGAATATGCAATAATATCGTAATGGACCCTAAAATATTTAGCATAATGTAACCTGATGTTATATTATATACCAAATATTATGTTCTATATATAAAAACTATATTGTACTATGTTACAATGTACTACACTATAAACTAAGATCTTGTTTTGTTCTATGTTATCTTCTGTTATATTGTATTGTCGTCTATTGTTATGTTTATTAGATGCTATAAGAAGCAAGGGTCTGTTATGTCAGAAAATGTCACACGGTTTTTGTGATGTCGAACCATCTTATGTCGTTCTTATGGTTTACTATGTTATATTATGTTATAGAATGCTGACGGAAGAAGAGACACGAACAGGCACGGAAGAACGAAAGACCCACCGTCGCGCTTTTCGAGCCGTGCAAGCTTGATTCAAACAGTGTTTTCGAAACCCATCATGTGAGCGTTGTGTCTGCAAATGGGCGCCCCCCCCAACCCCCCCGCTAACCAGAATCGCCAAATGAGGGGGTGTGTTTAAGATAGGTGATGAAGCGGAAGACCAGCAACAGCTACAACACGAATTCCGTCCTAATGCGAAATTGTAACGAAAATTTGATTTTCCCGAGGAACAACCAAAGATAACGTATGTTTTCCTTCTGAAAACCTGAAGAAATGACACGAATGCCATAGGTAATAGAAAAATGGTGTTTGTCCTAGGAAAAACAAGGGAAAACTTCAGGAAATACCACGGAATCCGTAGGAAAATCGTGTTTCCCCGAGGAAAACCAATCAGATCCTAAGGAAATGAAAGAAAATCCATAGGAAAATAATGTTTTCCCTTGGGAAATTCAGGAATTGCTGTATTTTAAGGAAACTCCCTCCACAGGGATCCTGCGCGTCGAAGCGCTGGCGCTGTGGTGCGGTGCAAATTTTCTACGTCCCCGATGAACCCTCCACAGGGATCGGCCAAGCAAACCACAAAAAAAAAAAATGCCCCAAAAAAAAAAGAAATCCCAAACTAATTCCAGACCCTTTGATTTTTACGCTACGCCGCCCGCCTCGGCTCCTCAGGTGCAGGGGCCGGATGAAACGGCAAAGCCTTCTGTATCACTCAGCGAATCTGTTCAGGTCACGGCTGTATTAGGAATTCTTCTCCAACGATTCAACATGTGCCGGGGCGCCGTAGAGCTGCTTGACGAATGAACAGCGGAAACGCAGGGTTTAGGAGTTGGGGGGAAGGACGGGGGCGGGGAGGAGGCAAAGAAACAGCAAACAACAGCAGCAAGAGAGGGGATCAGGGGGGGGAAGGCCAGAAAATCCGGTAAAATGAAGGGACGCCGGGCAAGGGGGTGGCAGATGAATGCAAAACACGGGTGTTTCCGAACTTTCGGACTGCAGGGAAGGGAGGAGGATTAGGTGGAGGGTACTTGAGGTAACCCCCAAGACGCCTGGGCCTGTGGCCTCGGCGGATATGATTCAATATTGATTGCGACCGCAAGAAGTGGCAGTATCTAGCAATAGGAACCTTCTATCGTAGGCACGGCTGTGACGACAAGACATAAACAAAGTCATAGAAACTGCGGGTCAGACAAAATGCACTCCGAAGCATTACACAGAGCATGTGCACAAGCCCTGAACGCAGAACACCAAGTGCCAAACCCCAAATGTAGCAACCCTAAGCCCTAAGCTAAACCCTCACCCCGAAACCCTCACCCCTAAACCTTCAGCGCTAAACCCTGACCCCTAAACCCGCACCCCTAACTCTAACCAGGCTAAAACCCGAAACTCTTCCCCCGAAGGGATGAGCGTTGACCTGGAAGCTCCAGAGCCCCAGCAGGTGCCGTTTTTGAGGGACAGGAGGATTACGGAATAGATTTTAATAGGCAGTATTAGTAGTATGGAGTAGTAGTAGTAATAGTAGTAGTAGTAGTAGTAGTAGTAGTAGTAGTAGTAGTAGTGGTAGTGGTAGTGGTAGTAGTAGTAGCAGCAGCTGCAGCAGCAGCAGCAGTAGTAGTCGTCGTCGTAGTAACTGTAGTAGCCGTAGCAGTCGCAGCAGGAGTAGAAGCGCTAATGACCGAAGCCCCAAACCTGTACTTGTACTGGTGGTTTAGGGTCAGTTCTCTGGGTTTAGGTTTCAGGGTTACCAGTGTTGCTAGTGGTACTCGTACCATTCGCAGCTTCTTCATAAGCCTCTTCCAATGGTTGCATCTCTACAATTGCAGTCTAAGTGTGCCTAAGTGTCAAATTCCTTTCATCATGAGGAGGGACTCTCAGACTGAGAAGGCCGTTTGCATCTTGAGTCTTCGCAGGACATGCCACAATGCGCTATTTGCCCGTCAGATTGCTTTCGTATCTGCAGACGAGACCATGCAAAGCCAGGAATTAACATGTCATTTTGAGGTGTGAACTTCACTCAGGTCGTTCGGATCGTTGCAACAACGCAAGATGCTAAACCCCAAAGTGCCAAACGCTGTGTTTGTCAAGTGCAGTTTCTCCCCATGCGCAGCACCCGAAAACCCCGTATGGCCGGAATCACAACGGATATTAAGAACTCCCCGCTCCTCACTCCCCCGCCCCCTAAACACTGAAACCCTCTCCCACTCTGAGGTGGCAAAGCCCATCAGTGCGGAGGCTTTGGAGAAGCTTGACTCCGTGGCCGGGCGCTCAAGACGACGCGCCTGCACCGGGGGTGGACTAGTATGGGACACGGGGTTTTGTGGGCCTTAAGGAGCTTGGGTTTCAGAGTTCCTGCAAGGGCCTCTGTTGCAAGAGGGCTCACTGGCGCAGGCCAGGTTTGCTAGATTCAGAAAAGCCTCGCCTTGTGTGGGGACTATATTGCAGTACACTGTTTGGCTGCCCTTTGTGTTCTCACAGATGCTCTTGCAAGACACGTGCGGTCAAAATGGATGCCGACAGTGCTCACGAGATTCTCCGGGAATCCATCAGCAACCATGGAATGTTTATGTTTCATTGTCCCAACTCCATGGTTCTGGGAAGGGTTTGCTTGGTCTTGCGAGCCCGGCCTCAGAGATAATATGCCCCAACTACACATATTAAGGGCCATAAGGCTCAGGGTTCGACTAAAGGGCTCTTTCAGGGGTCCTGGCGAGACCGCTGGGTACTTTGCTCAGTTTGGCACCATCTCCCCGTGGCTCAACGCCCAGGCTCAAGAGCTTCTGCTTGCTTCTTTTGTGTGGGGTCCGGGTTCCCTCTGAAGGGTTTTATAGGAGCGGTTGAAAGAAAATCTCAACGGTACCACAGGGCTTTACAGACTAAGCAGGATTGGGGCATGAGGCTTTAGGATGTATAGGCGTATAGGGCTTGGATTTTGGGGTTCAGGGTTTGGGGATTGGGGTTTAGGTAGGTCAGGTAGGTTCTGGGGGGCGAGTTCTCAAAGCTTGCGGTCACGGTACATAGTAGTTCCGCAACGGCCACTACAACTTTTCTGCTCTTCATAATGTGGTGCTACCACGGTAGAAGTAAACTACCAAGAAGACTGGACGTAGATCTCCATAATGCTTTTAGTCAGGCGTCCGACCGGTTCAGACGGAGACAAGGCAAAGGTCGCACAGGAAACAGCAGACTGGGTTCTTGGTGGCAAGACTCCGACAGAAAATCCGTGAGGCCTCTAGAGCCTACATGTCTGGCCTCTAGTTTAGACCCCAAACCCCACAGCCCTTGCACTGTCACCAGGACTCCCACATTGTGCTTTGTGCTTTCAACAGTCTATGTAAATCATCGTCATCATCGAACGCATCGTGGTCGTCCTCAGGTCATTAAGTTAAGTCATCACTATTGCTATCTTCATCATCTTTTGCATCAGCGAGAGGTCGGAGATGACTTGGCACCCGGCCGGGTTCACGACGAAGCAAAGCTGGCTTCTCTTGGTTGCTGTCCTGCATGTTTCTCACTAGCCTCCGGCAGAACATAGAGACGGGAAGGATGCCTCACTAGCACAAATGCCGAACTCCCGATTACAAGTCCTGGGTTCAGCATGTACGCAAGTTGGGGGAGCCTGTTATGCCCAGACTGTCTCGCCAGGTCGACTGGACCTGTGCACAGGTGGTGTGGGAGCATTGCCGCCGGAAGAGCGATCGGCGTTGGACCCTGGCATGAGGAAAACAGCAGAGCACTATGAGAGCTTAGCGCGGCTGTGCAAGGGGTTCGGCCAGGCATAGATATGCTTCTTGTTGTTGCGCATCTGCATAGTAGGTCCTTGCCTCTTAAGGGTGCAGCTGAGCATATCTTGGAAGATACACGCAGGGTTGAAGCTCATTGCACCGACGAGAAATCTTCTCATGCCTGCCCTGTCTTTCAGGCTGACAGAATGTAGCAGATCTGCGTCAGCTGCAAAAACTAGGACCTCAACAACAAACCCGTTGCTTTCATCCGAAGTAGCTCGGGGCAGGTCCCCCAGTGCCTTTTGGTCGACTATAATAAAGTTATAAGGGCGATAAAGGTCAGCATGGGCCGCCCAAGGTTTTCTCGCACTCATCCCAGCCCCATGAAGCGGAAGTCTACGACTTGGAAACCCCGATGTGAAAAGTGTGCCGATCTTCGGATGCTTCCTGCACAGCTCGCGCAGCTGATGCAGCCCAGAAGGCAGTTGCTGCGCATCCAACGCTGTTCTGCCCTGGGTTCGTCCCATGTAACCTGTTACTTGTGCTGGTGGTGGTGGTGCTGCTGCTGCTGCTGCTGCTGCTGCTGCTGCTGCTGCTGCAGAAACACAGCTGACACTATGAAGCTGACTCAAGCAGCCCCTTGCTCTTGGTACAATGCTGCCAATGCTCGCCTTCGAACTGGATGCACCTGCGCAGTTGCAGGCGGCATGATAATCACCGCCGCGTTCCAGTTTGCAATGGGCGGGAGTCTTAGTGTGACTGCTTTTTCTGTCCGAGGCACAGATTCAGCTCTGTGGCCGATGCTACCACTTTCCCGCACACGTCAGGCTTCCTCGCCTTGCTGCTGAGATACGGCGAGCACTGCACACAGATTTTGTTGAAGTTGAGCTGAGCACCGTTGCATGGTACGCAGCGTACGCCCAGGCGAGGCCGCTTTCATCACGTGGCAGAGAGAATCAAACGGGGATGTAGACGTGTCCAGAGCTTGGAAGTATCTGAAAGAGGCGATCTGAAACCATGCCTGCACAGAGTACCCCGCGATGTCCTGAGGTCGTTTGGGTGTTGACCTGTCTGAGCCTCGGGAACGTGGTTCGACTCTCAGGGATAGAACGCCTTGTTTCGAGAATTTAGGACCCGTCACCCCTACTTGTACAAGTCCTAGCCCGGATCAAGGCCTCAAGCCCAAACAGCAAGGCTTCCATTGCGGCCCCTGCAAGTTCCTCTGGCGCTGCTGCAGACGGAAAGGCTGAAGACTTCTGACTTGCCGAGGTTCTTCCCTTTCGAGAGCTTTTAGGGACATGGTTGGGTCTAAGTTTCAACACCCCCAAACCTGGGGAATTAGATCGTCCCTGCAAAGGTGTACCACTACAATTTGCCCTCAGAACCGGCAACTTCTATGCCCCTAAGCCTGGAAGCCTAAACCCTGAAGACTGAAAGCCCAGAAGGCCCCTTGCAGTCCGTCTACAACTAGCGTACAACATATCACCAAAGTTCAGTCAGGCTATTATAGTAGAACCGTTCTGGCAACTTGAAGTCTGCGATCCTAGACCCGAAGCTCTCACTGAAGACTGATACCCTCATTGCTGAATTCCAAAGCCAAGAGCCCTGGTTCTAGAGCCTCGACGCTAAAGCATGCCCACCTCAAGCCTTGAGCGCTACAACTTCAGAACTGGAACCATATCTTTCTAGCACAAGCCCGCCAAAAAGAGAACCTGGCCACCATTATGGCACATCGATCCTGAAACCACAACTCCAAACTCTGAAATCCTGTAGGAACTCCGTAACCCACTTTCAAGGCCCTTTACAAACGACATCCCATAGAATCCCTTGCAAAGCCCGAGAGGTGTAGTCTCGGCTCGTAAGCCAACAGCGGACCCGTCGTCCTCTGGTGCCGGTCCGGCGCCCCGGGGCATGGGCTACTTGGAGGTTCATGGGTAGTTGTAAGTGGAGTTATAAGTCTCCTAATATGGGTTATAATGATAGTGGTAGTTACCCTACTTATAACCCCACTTATATCTACCCATGAACCTCCAAGTAGGGGTTTAGGGCCGAAGTTCGGGTCTTGGGGTTTAGGGTTTAGTAAAAAATAGGATGTAAGGCAGAGTAAGGATCTTAGGATTAGGATTACCGTTCAGGGTTCAGGGTTTATAGGGAGGGCTCTTATGTTCTTCACGATTCAGACTTTAGGGTTTGGGGTGCTGCGCTTCGGCATAGGCTTAGGATTGAGGCCTCAGGGCTTTGGTGCTTGGGGTTTGGGGAGTGGGCCGTGTCGTCGAACACAGAGGGCCACGGATTTGTGCCTTAAGTTGAGGTTTGGAAGTGTAGACGTTGCCAGGCTTGTGTTGGGCTGTATTAAAGTTTTCTTGTGCAGGGACCCTAAACAGTAAACCGTGTGTTAGAGTGAAGCACTTTTGGAGTTTCGGAGTTGGGCTCATTTTTAGGGGTCACCGGAGGATTACCTTGATTCCTACACATTCGGCAGCCAATATTCTGGGTGGAAATTTGCCTACAGCCCATGACTACACCGGATCTTAATAATTTGTATTAGTATGTCTGAATTGCAGTCCTCAATATACAACTACATGTACATAATATGGGTATATAGGCATAAAATATATAAACAGATGTAGATCTGTAGATTTCTAGATATATAATATGCATATCTGTCTACCTATATACATGCACGCACACTGGCAGTCTTTGGCTGTAGCTGAGGTGCGAACGGCGCAGACGGTCAGCTACGACCGTCCAGATTCGCATTCATTCTCAAGGCACAGATATACGTCAATAGACAATGAATGCGATTGCAGCTCTGTCTGTGCGTGGATGAATGCATAAGAATATACACACATAGGTACATACGTACGTACTTACTTACAATACATTAATGCATGCATACAAACATACATGCATACATTACAATAGAAGACAATGCATTGCGGCACAATACAATACATTACAGCTCAGTACGTTACATTACAGTTCATTACATTACATGACATTGCATACATACATGCTTTCTTACTCACTCACTTAGTTGCATGCATACTGCCTACATAATTACATACACACACACACACACCTGCAGACATGGGTACACACACTGACATACCTACGTACCTACCCACCAACCTTTCTTCGAACGTACATACATACATACATGCATGCATACATACATACATACACATGCACAGCCGCTCACACACACACACACACACACATACACTGGCACCTACCCACCTACCCGCGTACCTTTCTGCCTACCTACATACGTACATACATGCATACAAACATACATACATACATACATCACTACTACACTTAATTAGTTCATATATCTGTATAATTACATGCACTTCGAACTTCTGTGTACATGCCTCTGTATATAGATACACAGGATATACCCGTGGATTCGAGATTCTGCTTCTGTGTCGAAGATCAGAAGGTTCAGGGAGTTGGGATTCAGAGCTTGCGCCGTTCCCGGAACGAAACTTGGCAGAGAGGGGAGGATTCGGATTTTTGGCTTGCGATCCAACTTTAGCGTGCGATGTTATAATAAGTTGGTTTAGCACATTTGGCTTGGCTCGGTTATGACTTGCTGGCTGTGACGGATTGAGATTTGCGCTCCGGGGTTGCAAGACCCGCAGGTGACCGAAATTCCGGACTGTCTGGCGGACAACTTCCGATGGTACTGGCCACTGCCTCGATTGATAAGGATATTGTCGGCGTTGAAGAGTTTAGGATGCATGCATGGCTTTCAGGTTTGGCGAGTTGAGCTCCCAAGCCTTAAGCCCTACACCCAAGACCGAAGCCCTGAGACCCGAGACCCTAAATCTTCAAACGAACCGCATACTTATTCTAAATCCCCCTGCGAAAGGAAACCCTCCCTATCACCCCAACATCCCGAAAACCCCTGAAGCCTCTAAATCCTGTTTCGGGCCCTCGAATCCCCCTCAACAGGGTAACACCAAAACCAGGCAGTCGCAAGTGCTCTCAGGTTTCTGCTGGCAGGCCAGGCCGGACTTATGGCCGCTGTCCCAACGGGGCTTTCGTTTTCATGACTGACAAATAGTTTAGTCAAGGCCTACAGCCTCAAAGCCTTGAACATCTTTTATGTGACCATAGAAGACCGCTTAGAGAACCCTTACAGGACCCTGATAGAGCCCCTGTAGCAAGCCGTCGAGGACCCTCATACTTGTAGGTAGGTGCTTCGGAAAGCCAGATTTCGACCCGAGCCTTTTTTCGGAACCTGAGCAGTTTTTGGGGTGAGGTTTGAGGTTGCAGGCATCGCAAATTCTGAGGTACGTGAGATCATTGTGATTCAGATGCTCAATGGATGGTACTGGGAGGCCTGCTGTGCAGCTCGACGCGTTGACTCGGATTCGGGCCTTTGCAGAAAAAGCTCTGGTCTGATTGTACCCCTTAAGAGACCCAGCTCAACTCTCTACTGTACGCAGTTTCTGATGACTGTGTGCAGGTTGATGGCAGAGTCATGAGCCAGTCGAAACCGAGGACAAGATTCAAGAGCTCCAGCCTCGTACGAGTAGAAGTCGTTGTCGTCGTCGTCGGGGCAGCAGCAGCAGTAGAAGCAGGCGCAGCAGCACTAGTAGTTTCGGTAGAGTGCTAGGCATGTGACAGTGGTGGCAGTAGCAAGCATGATTCTCCTCATGGTTATCTCTTCATCAGCACTTGAACATCTTCAACAACATGAGTCAACACCTCCACCACACAGGCAAGAACACTGATGGAACGCGGATGAAGGGCGTCGTTGCATGGTCTCGCATGTGGACTACTTGTTTGTTTGACGCACGATGTTCGAGTCTTTGTCGCAGGGGCCCACCGACTTCTGCTAGGGTTTAGGCTTCAACTAACTGTAGGCAGTGGGACAGCCAGTATTGAGCACGAGTCTCGCTGTTTTTGTTTTTGGCGTTGTCAGGTGTGTGCGGCAAACTTGGCCATGTGGATCGTCATCACCCTTATCGCTCCGGCCTCGTCGTTTGCATTCCTGGGTGCTGCCTAAATCCCGGGCCCGATCTCCTATGGGCCTCAAAGCTGAACCCCGAATCCGTGGTATTGCCACACTGTTCGGTCAATAAACCAAGAATACCAAGAAACAGCCTTACAAGATCCTGATCAGGCTGGCATGGAGTCTGATTTACAGATGAATACCCCGTCCTATCTGTTCTCTAATGTGTTACTGCGTAAAACTTGCCAATCCCCCGGTGGAATTATTCAGGCCGCTGTGCGAAGCCCGCAGCCGATGCTTGATCTGCTCCCTAAAACGACTCTGCTTGGGAGCCACAAGCACGACTTCAAAGCACCCTGAAAAAGGCTACAGTATGCTATGGTGCTGAGGTCCGCCAGGTTTGGCTGTTTTCCAGGGTCAGGAACAAGTCGCCCAGGGCAGTAGACCAGGCCCGGGGGTTCATGGAGTGGGTTTCTCTGTTGCCCTGATAAATTCATGCAGGCTTTGGTGGCGGGTGTGTCGGAATTGCCGATCTTAAGCCTGTGCTAGACGCTGAATTGTAGGCAGTTCTTCTGGGATAAGCTTTCTATATAGAGTTAGGGTCTTATTATATGACATATCGATTTAATCGGAAAGACGGCGAAGAGTGCAAGGGTGTAAATGGTTTGTCGGGCAATGAGGTAGCAGGGTTGGGGCTTTCGATCAATCTGGCATCGAGTCTTTCGGACTTGTGGTTTCGAGATACGTGACAACGGGTCACTGGCGATTCGCCGAAAATCCATAGGGTACCTAGGATTTCGGGTGTCTGTGGGGACCAAAAATTTTAGCGCAAAGGCTGCAGTGCGATGCCGTGCAAAGGAAGACACACGACGCATAGCACCACGAAGAAGGCCAGAGGAGGCAATCCCAACTAGAATCCTGGACAGTCCAGAATCCAAAGCAGCATTAGAGGGACAGCCCAGGGACTCGGATTGCTGGTCCCGAAAAGCCTAAATAAGCCCCATGATCCTGAACCCCGAAAGACTTTTAACCCTGTCAGATACTTGACATGCTTCTCCTGCCGATCAACTATGGATTCCTATGTGCTTTGTGTGCAGGGAACCCAGACAGTTCTGGTGCTCGTGCCACCGCTGTTCCTTGTGGTTTTCGAGACTGAGTCATCCTTCTTGCAGGTTCGTATTCTGAAGTTGGAGAACACGGACCAGAACCGCACGATTGTGTCGGCTATGATTGACAGTGCTGATATTTGGGAGCCACGAACTGAGTCCGTAATGGAAGTGTCAGCACCGGGACACGGTGTGCGTCGGATGTCCAGCCTGCTCTCGAACCCGTAAAGTCTTAAGCCTAATTCTCAAATGAGCCCATCTAAACCCATCTTCATTCCCTCAAACCCCGGACCTGGCTTCCAAGGTCCTGGGCGCTCTGGTCCGTTCTGAAGTTGTTCGCGGAGATCTCAGGGCCCTCGTCGAGCCTAGAACTTTCACGGAGCAGGGCTGCAGGGTTTCTTCCCGCACCCCAGGCCCCAAGCCCTTCATCGAATCGCATACGGGGGATCTCAGGTGAAGATTGTGGAGCATGCGAGCCAGCGTGTCGCAAACTCAGGGGGGAGTTTCTCTGCTTGTGTAGGGCTTCGTGCAGGGCTTGCCTCCAGATTCACCTCGTGGATCCTGAAGGTGGTTTCTCGGGAGAACGACTTTCGTCAAACCGCGCGGCCCCATTCCCAGAAAGCCTGCAGAATTTTACTACAGCTGTGTGATTTCTTGGGTGGAAGGCAACGACAGCGTACTTTGTCCACAATGATTGCCGCAGATGCCAGCACGGCCACTAGCAAGCTCGAGGACGGATCCGTGGTCGTGCCTGGAAGCTGTTTTTGGGGTGTAGTGTCTTTGAAGGGTTTTCGCGTTTCAGATCACAAGGTTTTTTGGGGTTAGGTGTCGCTGACCGCAGTACTCAGTCTTGGTGACTTGAGAGCTTGCTTTCCTGCCACGTTTCCTTCACCCGACAAGGATCTAATCAGCTTGAGTTTGATAACTTCGCTTCCTCGTGCGACCAAATCTGGAAGGACGTGACGCCACCTGCTCCAGGCACCTTTCTGGAGATTTCTGGAGCCCCTGATTCATTGCCACTGTTATTGTTGTTAGTGTCTTTATACAAGCATTGCTGCGGCTTCTATCTTACTCTTCTGACAGCTCCTATTACTTCTACCACCTTACCACCTACTGTTATTACCAGTATCATCAATAGCGTGAGTATTATCAGTGCTGTCAGCTGATTGTAAATGTCATAGAAATGTCCTTGCGATGGTCTTTTCTTATGCATGGCTAGTAGAAGGAGATGACTTGCAGGCCCCCCTCCGAGTGAAGAGGTCGCGGCAGGCTGGGACTGAGATGGTACATGGCGGTCTCTATTCAATAACCTTCGATGTGTGGCCGAGGCGAGTTCAAACTGAGAACGTGTGTTGCACTTGTTGTTCATTCGGAGCCGGCGAGTTGAGACAGAGATTTTGAGTCGCAAAGCATATACCAACTACGTGACAGAAGAGAGCGCCTGGGCTTCTGTGGATGTAGGCGTGATGCCGACCGGTGAAGGTGACCATGCAGGTGGGTTGAGACCTGCACTGAATAATACTTGCGATCCTGCTTTTTGAAGCAATCTGTGCGACAAGCCAGAGTCACACTGGACGCTGATTTGGATCCAACTAAACTCCAGCTTCACGCAATTGAGACCATGACCCTGAACACCAGACTCTGCCAGACCCTGAAAGAAGTCTTTGGCTTTGGAGGCCCCACGCTGGCTGGACGAGACCCCTTGCCGGCTGAAGAAGAAGTCGCCACAGGCGGGCGCGGAGAGGGACTCGGCCGACGCAGCAGCCAGATGAATGCACTAGCGCCACTACAGGGGGAGACGTTAGAGGGTGTAGGGTTCAGGTGCTTAGGGCTTATGGGGTTTAGGCTGAGGGGTTTAGGGTCATGGGTTTAAAGTCAGAGGGTTGCACTAACCGTCAGTAATGTACAGCGGACGTTGTAGTAACCATGGGTTGACATGCATCAATGACAGCTGCAGGCCTCATGCCGCCCAGCGATGCCGTCGACACAGGCATCAGAAAGCACCTCTCTTCCACATTGCGGCCGACGAAACATTCGAGGGGTTGTGCAGGGTTTGGGTTCAGGGTTGCAGCTGCCTTGTGGGGGTTGCTTGTTCCAGCAGACGAAGATGTGTTAGAGGAGCTTTGCCAGAAGATCGGCCGTACGAGCATGGCAGCTGCCCTTTGGTTGTTCGTTGCGGTCGGAAGAAGATGTTTGTCAATAGGAAAGAGGAACTTTGCCGCTGGTGCCGCGAGTGAAGGCCTTGTGCAAGCCGATGGGGAGGAGCTGGCGGCAGCACATGCAAGGACAGCAGGGAAGACGTGGAGTACGCAGGTCATCCGTCCACCTAGCTCCCGCCAGGTTTGGTGTCGCACATTTGAGGAGCGTATTGCCACCTTGGAAGCCTACAGTGCCGAAGGACTGCAGGAGATCCTCGCCCATCACCTCGTTCGAGGAATCAGGCCGCACTCGTGTCTTTGAGTTGACCGGGTAGGCGTAGCGCTTTTTTTGTAAGGCGAGAGCCCTGCAAGAGAGGTGAATTCACTCATCATTTAGTCATTGTGCATGAGAGGTGAGAGAATGCACCAGTATGAAAAAGTTTCGGGGTTCCACGCGCCTGTTGGTCCATGCCCTGCCTCATCTCACCCTGACCTGATCGATTTTTGCTCTGTCGAATATCCCAGTCCTCTCGAGTTACCTTCAATGCATGCCTCAATCCGCCTGTCGCCTCAATGCAGCCTAAACTAAACCCCAAAACCCCTCAAAACCCAAAGCCCTACACTTTTAAAGCTAAAACCCTAAGTGAGACGCCAGATAAGCCAGGTGAGGGAGCCGACGGGTCGTCGGAGCATCTCCTGGCCGAGTCTCCGGCGCACGCAGCCTCGCCAGGGGAAGCGCAAGGAGAGACCTTGGTCCCAGGAGCCCGGCCGAGCTCTTTAAGAGGCTTCTAGGCTTGTAGTCCATACGAAATACACGGGCGCTACCAGGTTTGTTATGGGCTTTAGTGTAGAAGGGTCTCCCGAGCGAGGTCGTTGGAGTCGAGTTCGAAACTTTGACGGTCCATCGACTCTCGAGTTCGAAAGTTTGGTTTTCGAGATTGGAAAGTTTCAACGTGTAAAACGCCGCAGCTGGTGTCTTATCTTAAACTCGCCCCCTCTTGGAGTGATGCCGGTTAAGCTTTAGCTCAAACCCGACCCCTCGTTAGACAATGGCGTCTGATCCCGTATCTTGGACCACCCCTCAGTTGGCGAAGGCGGTTGATTTCCTGTTTCAAGCTGCCCTCTCATTAGGCGACTGCGGTTGATCTCACGTCCTCATCTCGACGATGGCGGTTGATCCTATGTCTTTCCGTATCTTGAACTCGCCCTCACGAGGCGATGGCGATTCGGCTGATATCTTAAGCCCGACCCCTCGCGAAGCGATGGCGCTTGATCTCATATCTTGAACCCGGCCCCTCGGTTGGCCCTGCGATGGCTGCTGAATTCTTGTGTCACATCTGCCCATCCTTGACTATAAGTGTCATATCTTATAGTCTCCCCCTCACCAGACGATGTCGCTTGATCCCATATCTTAAACTCAGCTCCTGATGAGGCGATGGCGGTTAAGTTCAGATCTAAAGCCGCCCCGACGCTGGGCCATGACCTCATGTCTTGAACCCGGCCCCTCAGCAGGCCCTGCGATGGGGTTTGATTTCGAATTTGAAGTCCGCCCTCGAAAACGTAGCTGCGATTGATCCCATATTTACCTTAAGCGCGGCCCCTCACGAGGCGATGGCGGCTGATCCTAACACTGCATGTCTTAGACCTGCCCAATTATCATTCGATCGGTCGATCCCGTCTCTACCTTAGCCTTAAACTCGCCCCCCTCAGTGGGCGCATTGTACATATAGCCTTGCTCGAAGTGGGATGGTGTTGAGGTTTTAGGATGTTCTGGCACCTTGACCTCCAAACCCTATCTCCCGTACTCAAGACATAGACCCTAAACGCCGGATATGAATCAAACCTCAAATCGCGCAAGCTCAAACTCAGAAGTTTCATTTTGTTCAAGCCTTCTAACTTTCAATTCTTTCGTGCTCCGGACCCCAAGCTCCCGATCTTTGAAGCTCTCGAGATATGACCGGTTAGAACTTTCAAGCTTCGAACCGTTCGAACTCCAAACCTTGGATGTTTAACTCCCAAACTTTCTCAAGTTTAATTTCCAGCCGTTCATTCTCCAGCCGCTGAAGCTTTCAATCTCGAGCCTAGGACGCACCCAGTGGCACGTATCGCCACGGCTTCAAGCTTTCAATCTGGATTCCTCCCCAAATATCCCGACTGCAAACTCGCGCCTGCTTTCAATCTGGCATACTCCTCAATCTCGGTCTACGCTTGGTACCATCAAACTTCCCTGCTTGTGACACCTATCCTGCATGAGTATGAGGGACCAGAGTAGGAGTTGTCGGTGCATTTAAAAAAAAGAGCTGCAGACAGAGACGGATTAAATTCAACGAGACATTTCCGAATGCTGCCAGGAGCCCGAGCCTTGCAGGGGCCGGAGCCAGGCTCTGAAGCCCAGCTCCGAGGAGGACGCAAAGCGTCGTGTCCCCTTGTTCCCATTCTTTTTGTAATAGGGGCCTTAGAATATAATAATTAGAAAAGAACCATAGTAAGGAACCCCCAAAAAAGTATGCAATTATTGAGGTTCCTATATGAGGGGTTGCTTTCTCCTTGTTTGCCTATAAAATCCTGGCTTGCTTGAAGTGTTTAGAGCTTGTTTGCAAGCCGTTTGCGGGGCCGGGGAACTCAGCAACTAGGACTTCAAGCTGACTCGTTCCAGAACGACCTCCATCCTGGAAGAGACAGCTGAGCAGCTGGAGGAGGCTCCAAGAAGCCCTCGCTTGAGCGCCGGGGACGAGGAGGACTCCGGGAAGCCATGCCCAACAAAAAGCTCTAACTGTATCAAACCCGAAAACCTTAAACCTGAAGTCCTGAGGACTCTGGGAAGCAGCACGAGGAGGAGGTGGAGAAGGAAGGTCAAGACGGAGTCGACAAAGAGGCGACTCCACTGTCCAGCGATGCAGAGCTCCTGCCGATGCTGTCGGATCAAGAACATCCGCAAACACCCATCAGCAGCCAGAGCCCCACAGAGCCGGAGGAGATGGATGGCAGGGCTCTTACAAATTTTACCTTCTTGGAGAGCAGGGGTTACGGATGTGGAAAAATATCGTGCCAACTATGTGGTTTGGCAAAGGGCCTTGGTTCCCAGAATCTTTAAGACTGTGATTGTGTTTGGTGCCTGTCTTGGCTTCCTGATGATACTATCCGTCACAGAGGAGAAGCTCTAGGCCTTGCCTCCTTCGGGTGTTTAAAGAGTCAATGCATTCCCTACGAGGCTTCGGTTGATGTGCGAAATGTTGCACCGCCTCTGTCAGTATCAGCGACACGATCGACACTTACGGTACAGAACCCTGCACACCCTTTGCAACATTTGCACGTGTTGCTTGCCAGGGATCCCTGAATTTGGTCGTTATTAGAACTAGTCGTTTCGAGGCTTCCCACGACCAACGTTGACAAGGGCTTGTGGGTTTGTTGACCTACATGCCTGAAGCCCTATGAACAACAAGAGGCCAGCCTGGACCGATGGGCACTGGCCAGCCAGCGGTGGGGAGGTTCGGAGTTTAGGTTTCCCTGCAAGGTTTTATTTTACAGTGAACATTAGGATTGCCTTGCTCGGGACGGCTCCGAGTAGTCAGATCCTTATTGTCGGCTCTGTTTATAGTCCTTCCGCTGATGGCAGGCTTTAACATCCTCTCGATGCGTCCTCGCTCCCGCATTCGAGGATTTATCGAACTGTGCAATGCCTTTCAGGATTATGCCCTTCGAAGGGAACCCAGCTCTAGGATTTTCGAACAGGCATTGACTGCCGTTCGGCAACGCTTGTTGTCAGATTGTTGGCCAGTTCCCATAACCATCCACGCTAGGCTTCCACGTGACCTTTGTCAGGCCGTCGCTGTAATAATACCATCTTAGCTCGTTCTGAATACTGAGCGTTCCACCCTCCTAAACCCTTAATCCCAACCCGCAAAAGCTCTAACACCCTAAACCTTACTCCAAGATATGGTCGGCCGACAGGTCAACGACACCATCACCACATGTTGGCCGAGCCGTCGTGATTTGTAGTATCGCATAGGTTTTGGAGGATTAGGTTTTTTTTGGAAGGAGCGATGGCCGTGGCAGAAGAGCAAAGGCATGAGCCGTGTTCAGAACATAGGCAGGTGCAGGCAAAGAGAACTATCGGGGAAGTGCGTTTCAGTGATCCCGTTCAAGTCACTAGCATCATTATCGTCAGCCTCACCAACGCACCGACATCGACAATCTCAACTTGCTGAGTGCCATCTTTATCGACACAATCCTGATCATATTGATTTCCAGTGTTGTCAGCGCCAGCACCAGCACCATGTCAGCATCGCATCATCATTCTCTTCCACCATCGGCAGCAGCATATCATCATCACCACCATCACCACCAGCATCGTCATCATCATGATTCACATCGTCGTCATCGTGGTCATCATCATCATTATCACGGTCATCACCATCGTCTTGCTCGTCATTCGCTCATCAATCCATCCATGCATGCTTGCATGCATGCACACATTCGTTCATCCTCCTCAGCATCATCGCCATTGATAATCAGGACCTGGCAGCAGTGCCCAACTTTGCGAGGAGACGCCCTTAGCTTAGGGTAAACTACGGTTCAGTCAGGCTTGGGGGTTTAGGGTTGGAGGTAGGGGTTGAGGTTCAGTCTTCAGAGTTTGGGTTGACTGTTGGGGTTTTGGTTCAGGTGGGGCCTGTGTGGCAAATTCCCAGACTACTGCATCTGAAATCCTTAACCTTTTTGTGGATTAGGGCCAGTAGGGATTGCGGTTATTACAAGGGGGTTTGGAAGGGGGTGTCTTAAACGGACTCTACAGGGTGCTTCTCCAGGTTTAAGGGCATGGGACTTACCTAGCCGGCAGGAGCAGGTTGTCCGAACTGCCACCTGATTTAATCTGCTCCCTCGTTTATGTGACACCTCTCTACAATTAAAAAGACTTTGGTGGCAATCCTCACGAAATTGCCCCTTTAAAACCTGATTTGCATTAGGGGGTCCGGAGCAAGAGCAATAGCAGGACCAAAATAAGGAGCAGGAGCACGAGTAGGAGCAACCGACTCAAGAGCAGCAGCAAGAGCAATAAGAAGAGCAGGAGCAACAGCAAGAGCAGGAGCAAGACCTGAAGCAAGAGCAAGAGCGGGAGTAGGAGGAAGAGCAAGAGTAAGGCGCAAGAGCAGGAGTAATAGCAAGAGCAACAGCAACAGCAAGAGTAGGAGAAAGCACAAAAGCAGCAGCAAAAGCCAGTGCCGGAGCAAGAGCAAGAGCACGATCTCTCCAAAGTAACGGTAGAGATCAAAGTACCCCCAATAATAAAAACACAGCCGCTGCAAGTCTTTATTGGGGGAGGGGTTCGAGGGGGGGGGGGGGGGGGGGGGGGGGGGGGCAACCCACCCGACTAAGGAGCCTCCCTGACAGGACTAATCCTTGGAGCTAGAGTTCTTCTACCCGTTGCCATACTTCAACCCCGAAGAAGCCTCTAACATCACACTAAGACCATCATACGACCATCAACAAGCACCTTCAAAACCGACCCCCTCTAAAAGCCCGAAGAGCCCAAACGCCTATCGTTGGACTCGAGCATCTTCTCCTTTCAAAGCAAAGGCCCGACTCATGGTTTCAGGGTTTAGGGGTTCGGGGCCATTTAGGGTGTGGAATCGGGAATGGGGCTGAGTTAACTGGTCAGGGTTCAGGGTTTGGGGCTTCAAGGACTGATGCGACAGCCGATGATGCTGGAAGGGGCCGAATCGGGTGTAAACGCGGTTCTACGGGGTTTCGAAGAGTTCTTTGTAGGATTGTAGGCATTATGTTGATTTCTTGATACCACGAATAAGCATCTGAAGTCGACCAGACCTTGCCGAGAACTGGGCAGCTGAGCTACTTCGCAACACTCGGACAGAGCATCAGACATGTACAACTGAGGTCTTCAGAGCGGCTGAGTGCCTGAGGATAGACCCTAAGCCCATCAATCCGTGAGGAATTAAAACCCCGCGGCAGTACCTAAACAAAACCAACACAAGGCTCTGAGAAGGGTCCCTTGAAACCCTACACTCCTGGAGAGGCGCCGTTGCCACAGGCAACAGCAGAGGCGGAAGCCCTTGCCGTCGAGGTGCTGTCAGATGGGCAGCGACAGATTGGCGTTTTTGTTTTCTTCTGCCTAGGGCTTTCTGAGTTTTAGCATTTCGGTATCAGAGTAGATGAGCAATGACAACAACAATTATCACGGGCAGCAGAAACAGCAATGTGGTAAAGACGAGAGAGGGGGTTCGAGCGGCTGCTAAACAGGATACAGTAGCAGGATGGTACTACTGACAGCGAGTTCGCCTGTGTGTCTGATGTGCTTGCTTATGTTTTATTGAAAATCGCACAATTGTTGGAGGCTGCACTGCACTCGCATTCTGAGAGCGGCGCTCTTGCCAGTCGTATCTCTTAAGTCTTAGCAGGTCGGTCGGAGAGTGGTTAGTGTAGCAGGAGGTGCGTGCCCCAGGGTCTCTCGACCTGAGCTGCCGAATCCCAGACCGCGCACCGAATCCCTATGAAGCCTTCAAATCCTCGTTCATTGTTTGCATCAGGATGCAGACAAGCAAATGCCTGTCCCCATTTCGCCCGACTCTTCTGGCGTTCGACGTCCGTGCCCCTGGCTTGGGGTTCTTTCGCGCCGCACAACTACAGGTATTTGGCCGCATTCTTTAACCATCAGGTCCAGGAAGTGGCACCATTTGCAGTCCCTACGTTCGTATGCATGATCTTCCTTCCAAACAGCCCTAGGCTAATCTCGCAAACACTTGGATGTGAATCGGTAGACTTCTGCAAGAGCATGATTCCTGGCTGAAGATTTCAGGTTTCAAGTATTCCGGGTTGGCCAAACATATCCGGAACCTGAGAGAGAGACGCTACGGCACGAAGGGGTGCAATTACGGGCGAGTTTGTTAGGGATTTACAGTCTAGGGGCATTCCAGATCCTAATCCATGCTGACTGCTGACGGCCTCCATGAAGGACCTTTTCATGAAAGTCGGAAGTTCAAATCTTGCATATGGAGTGCAGACATCTTGGATGCACATGTGCTCTGCGAAGCATAGCCTGGGTCTCCAACCAGCCCAGAGCAGGTATAGTTTATAGTCTATAAACTTAGACCCAAAGCCCTAAGATCCTCAACCTGGACAATACAGCCCTGAAGCTTATGAACCGTCAAAGAACTGTATTACGCAAACGGTGAAACCACAAGGCTCCCTGAGCGTCATGAATACCACTGGGACGAAGTACCTGGAGGCTCGTCAGGTTTGCTGGGTCCCCACATTGGAGCTTGTTTATGTAGGGACGTTGAGGTCTAAGGGTTTCGGATTTAGGCTTGCAGGTTTCAGGATTTAATTACTGGTTGGGCTTTAGAGTTTAAGGGTTGCAGCGGTTGCTGGATCTCGAGATTGATCCCGAGCGCTGACTTGGCAGGGGTCCGAAAATTAAGAAGAGCTGTTACGCAAGCCTACGGAATTGAGGAGTTTCATCGCTGGTTACTTCTTACCAGCAATAGCCCGTGTCAGTAGTTAGTTGATGGTGGTGCCGGATCCTGGATCTCAGGACTGCTTTTGCCCCGAAGCGCGTGAGGGTTCGGCTGGTAAAGCGTCGAGTGTAGAATGTCAGGGTTTCTGCAGCCCCGGCATTCGCGCGAGGTGGTGAACGCCTTCAAGAAGCTTAGCCTTTCGGGCGTGCAGGCAGACTCGGGGCATTGAGAGCTCTTTTCGGGAGGACCCGTCCTGATGGTCACACGTCACGACATGTGACCAACAGCAAATAAGTAAGTAAGATAGTCGTAGGAAGTAAGTGGTGAGTAGTAAATATCACATAGTGCGTAGTATGCAGCATGTAATACAAGTAGTAAGTAGCATGCATCGGTAGGACCATGTACGGCGTATTACGTTGTACGTCGTAAGTAGTGTAGAATATTGGGCAAGGAGTATTAGTAAAACATAAGTCGTCAGTAGCAACAGCAGCTGGCATAGAGGAAACATTGCGCAACAACAAGAGTCGCTCTTACTACTTGGAGTTTAGGTGGTTGATCATATGTCGACAGCGCCGGAAGAAGTTCATGAAGTCGGCTAGGCCTTCAACCCTAACTCGAAGGCCTCAGCTCCCTGCAACCACCGGACTTCGCCAAAACCGCAAAAGCCCAGCCCACTCCACTAGCCGGAAGCTTCTGGACACAGTGATCATGACCCATTTCTTCCCAAGCGAAGGCCTGGGTCTTCATCCTCTTGCTCGCCACCTTGGTGGAGGTGGAGATTCGGATTCTCTTGTGGGGATGAAGATTTGGAGACTCCGCTACCGCTACAACAGGTGCTTTCTTGCAACGATGCTGCTCCTCTGAGGACTCCACATTGGCCCTATTTCAAAAGAATGGCCCATAAGCTGTCGCTTGACCAAAATAAGTGATGTACACTTTACAAATATATGTAAGTTGGTGGTTTAAATAATGAAGGCCGAGCCATGCTCTGGGATATGCAGGATTTACCCGAAACCTTGAAGTCCAGAACGCGAGCCCCCAAACTCCAAAAGCCTGACACCCTAAACCCCTCAAGCCCTGAAGCCGTACACCTCAAATTCCAGAGCACCGATCTCCTACAAGCTGTCCGAGTTACGGCAAAGCCCCGTAAACCCCCAAACCTATAACCAAATGTACGTTTTCAGTTTTACACATCCATATATACTTATGGAAGGAAACAGAATCAATGGTTACGTGTAAGACAAGCTGTGAACGAATATACTGAGTGCAGATGTGCATGTGGGTATCATATAACACGGTACATACATGATATTTTTATATTAACACATGTTCTTACTAGCTGAGAAGTTAGCTGGTGAGTTTATCCACGAGAATGTCATTAGTTGCACAGTTTCTGGAACACTCAGTCAGCTGGTTGGGTTCATGAGTCAATTCTTGAGATAGCTCGTTGATTTGCCAAGTAATCAGTCGTTGAACCGTTTGATATCTGGGTAAGTACTGTCTCATCAACTAAGCAACTACTTACTTAAATCCTATGATATGCTGGTTTGCATGAAGATGTTACTAGTATCTGAAGTTATGTGAGATTCCATCTCCAGGCTTGTAATGCCGAGTATCATATGCATATACAGTGAAGATTGTATAGGGTATCGCATATGGTTTACAACATCGTCCATAGCATACAACATGTAGTATGTAGTATACGGTATATGAAACTTCCTTGTTTTTCAAGTATGCAGTATAAAAGTGTATGGTATATGGCATACGGTATACAGTTTACAGTATACATTAGTACAGTATTGTTTAGTATAGTATATAACGTGGGAGAGTATAGTATAGCAATGTCTATCATTACGTTAGTTATGCTGAGTAACATGTTATCTTACCACAAATATTGAGAATCGTAATTATTGTTACGTGTGCGTGTGTTGTGTTGTGGCGCACATGGGTGTCTTATTGGTTACATCAGGTGGCTCTTATTTTGGATACGTCATGTCAAATCCTGCTAGGTTGTGTTGTCTTTGCTATAGTATGTGTTGCTGCTGTTATGTTAACTAAGTCATGCTACTTCATTTTTATTGGGTTCTACTATTCGCAGGTTTTCCCCTTAACAGTGCAGGTCATGTTCAAAGGCATCCTGGCGCCGAGCATGCCAACTGTGTGCTACTGGGTGCGCCTGCGACTGCTGTGGAGCGTAGGGCCTGCCTGTGAATCCAATATCCCACCATTTTGGAGGTTTTGGGGCTAAAGGTAGGGCCTGCCGTTTCCTTTGTGTTGTTGCCTGCAGGGTTCATAGCGTGTTCAGGTTCAGGGTATCGCTTTCGCTGTGGTTCTGTTTTAGGAGTTCGGGGCTTGGGGTTTGCTTAGCTTAGGTGTTGATTTTGAGGGTGCAGGGTGTAGCCTGTTCGTCAGAGTTTCGAGTTTAGGCAGAGAGCGCTGGCAGGTCTACAAGAAATGCGAGAACTGCAACGTTTGGTACGACTTGAACTTCTACCAATCGACGCAAGGGAGCTCCGCTCAGTGCGGTTTGCCAGCTCGGGAGTGCACGGGAGAGTCTCATCAAATGCACCTGAACGGGTCGATTCGCGTGAAGCTCGCAACCACATCATGTAGAGATAAAGCATCAAGAGTCAGAAGTCTAGGTCCTACACCCTATAAAACCTATAGACAGTTAGATAGATAGATACACACAAATACAGACTGACTGACACCCTGAAGCCTCGGGGTATTGTCAGGTGAGTCCGGAAGTTGGCCGTGGGGAGAGCTTAAGCGCCAAAGCCCTGAGCCTTAAGTCCGAGCACCGCCACAAGAAGGAAAACCTTGAGCTGAGCCCAGGATCATCTACATTCTTTGCAGCTTTGCTCTGATCTTCGTGGTGGCCTTCGAGCGTGCAGGGGGCCCGGAGGTTGCTGTAGCGGGCCTGTTGAGGGTTTCTATATGGCTTCTTGCCAGGGTGGACATCCCGCGTGTCCTAAACCCTAAACCCTAAACCGTGACATGTAAGTATTGATTCTAACTCTGCCTGCTGCCTTTTCTCATCAGGTTTGTTTAAACCTGTATCACGATTTCCTAATGAAGCCGAATTTCCGTAGACCAGCAAGGTAGCCCGTTGGATTGCCTCCTTCGAACTGGTCGGGACAGAAACACCGTCTTGCTTGCCATTCTGCACGGCATTCCTTGTTCAGGGCTCGAAGAGACTAGGGTTCCGTTCCGAAGCCTGCTGGTTGTATTAGTATGAGACTCCATACTGCTGGAAAGCCTGGCGATTGATTCCGTTGTTCCAACCTTCTGGTGTAATCACCATGATGGTGCGTATTTCCATTGCTAGCTACCAGTACTACTGCTTGTAGACCGGTCTGAAACTTACTGGCCTTCTTATCTGTGTTACCAGTCTTCCTAGTAGCAGTTTTACTGCAAAGGTCAGCCAAGCAAAGTTGTCTGCAGATCTTTCAGCCCGAGGTGTTCCAAGATTACCTGCACGGAATCCAGCCCTATTGGAAATTCTGGGGCGCCGGTCTCCGAGAAGTGCAGCGAGGGAACGTCCTAAAGGACGTGATTTCGGGGATGGGTTAGACTGCCGCACTGTCTTAGAGGGAGATTTGGGATGTGGTGGCTTGGGTTTCGTTTGGAAGAAGTTAAAAGATCGCTGTGGCTTTTCTCCCAAAAGGGTCATACATGCGTTCATCCTGCTAACTTGTACAGTGCTGGAAGCTTTTTTGCCTGATTGTGTTGGCAAAGGCTGTTTAAACACATCGAAGACAGAAGACAGAGCCACATCCATCCTAGCCAGCTGCGGCCGCTGCTGCAGAGACTGCTGCTGCTGATGATGAATGGGTTTCATGCGGCATTGCAGCCTCGAGCTTGATCCTCTTTCTGCGGCTATTGCGAGCTAGTACCTGCTACCCGTTTGAGACGACGACGATGCCGACGACAGACCTGTGGCTCCAATGCCTAAGACTCGTTGCCTCCTAATTGATCACTTGCCGCAATCTCGTTCTACTGCGATGCACCACACACTTCGGACAACTCTATCCGGAGAGGTTCACGGTGCAGCGACTTCGCGCTAGAGATCTGCATGAAGTTGCGCGCCAATGAACACTAGTCAGTATTCCTTTGGCCCTAGACTTCTAGTATAGCAGTCCCAGACCCTGCTTGAAGTATTCAGGCTCTACTAGTACTCCAAACAACGGTCGCATGATCAGAATTTTGCATCGTTTAAAGCACCAGACTTCAGGTGGGTAGCCGCCATCGAACACCTGAACCTCATCATCGTCTCTGACACCTAAAATCCCAAACCTGTGCCGCTAAAAGCTGATCGCTGTAACCCTATAACCCCAATCGCTACTTGCGCAGTTCGACAGCCCAGAGCGCCCTAAACACCTGACCCATACATAAACCCCTGAACACTTAAATACCCCCAAAATCAGAAGCGAGGCTGAGCTCGAAACGCATCCCCGAGGTCAAGATCGTGGTCAGCGTCACCTATTTCCAGTGGCTTCTGTTCAAGTGCCCTTTACGGTTTAGGGTATATGTAATACAGGTGTAGAGTTTAGGGCTTTGGTCCTTTACTCAGGCTTTCAGGTTTAAAGCTTGGGTGTTGAGGGTTTCTGAGGCTCGAGAAGGAGTGGAGCAGGCTGAAACCACATTCAAAGCAGGTTTAGGGTTTATGGCCTCAGAATCTTCAGGATTTCAGGGCCTCGGGGTTTCAGATTTCAGGGGCTTCAGCTTGGTTCGTCCTCAACGGGCCTCTAGGCCAGGCTTTCAGGAGTTCAGTCATTCGTGCTTTCGGGTTAACGGCCTGAGAAAGTTAACGGCTTCAGACTTGGGCGAGTTGCCGCGGTTCCGAGGGGTTCCGGAAGCCCGGTTGTGAGAGTCCCTCCGATCGAGCATCCTGAAAGGTACGGCTTCCAGATGCACGAGGAGGAGGTGCCGTTCGCGACGAAGTTTCTTTGTTTCAGGCGGTAGGAGCATATTCGATGTTTTGTTTTGCGTTCATGGCCTCAGGGTGGCTCGTGATGTGAATGCAGACTGTAGTACCTTACCGTCGGGATGATGTGTTGTTGTTATTGCCGTTGCCGTTGCCGCTGCTGCTGCTGGTGTTGTTGTTGTTGTTGATGATGTTGATGTTGATGTTGATGTTGTTGGTTGTCGGGTCGCGTGTTGCTTGTTGCTGGTCGCCTGTTGCTGGTTATTGTTGCTTGTTGCTTGTGTTGCTTGTGTTGCTTGTTGCTTGCTGTGGTTGCTGCCGTCATGCTTCGCATCGCCATCGACGTCAGCATTGCAACCGAGAACATGAGCAGCTCCTGCTGCTTGTTTTCTTCTGGTCGTGACGGGAGTATCAATTGGACAGTGATGGGAATGAGTCGAGGAAAGGAAAACGTAGCGCTGATAAGAAGCATCCGCATGATGTCACAAAAAGAACGCATCATCTCAAGCCAAATTCCCGAACCTTTGTCGAAGCCCGCATACTGAACCCTTGAGCGCAGATTTACCTCACTCACAGCTTGATATGCTGCATTGAGATGCCTGGGGCTCGACAGTGGTTGGGTGGTCAACTTTGCGAATTTCGGAATCGCTTGCCAAGAGCTGACGGGAAATGGTGGTGGGGATCGTTCTTAGTTTGTAGAGCGCAGAAGTTGAGGTGGATGGAGTCTCGGAAGCGGTTAGCTTGAGCAGAAAACATGACACTAATTTCGAAAACATGCCGCAGGTACCCACAAACCTAGGAGGCATGATCAACTCCATAACTTATACATACATACATATATATATATATATATACATTTGCACACTTATGTATAGCTTCATCTACACGCAAGGAAGCAAGCCAACAAACTCAGAGGTGTGTGTACATATATATATATATATGTGTGTGTGTATATATGTACATACACATGCGTGCACTTGTTTGTTGAAGTACGTTCTTATAGCTTCAACTGAGTCGTACATACACGAATGCGTATGTATATACTGTATTCGTGCATGCAGGTATGTGCTCACATGCATGTGTAACTATGTTGGTTGCAGGAAGAAAGACCTGGCTTACGCAATTGAATCTCACAAGATCCGACACACACATTGCAAGAGCCCAGTAATTATACATTTCCTGAGCAGAAGGCTAACCAAGCACCTTCCTGTCTTGTCTCCATTCCCGCGGACACGATCTCTTGTAGAGACTCAGCAGCTCTGCATCCTGAACACAGTTTCTTCATTGCTCTTTGAAGAGTCGTAATCTGCAACAGACCCTAAATTACTCAGAACACCGTGCTGAGGCCGATCCTGTGTCTTCTTCATGCGACCTACGCAGGGTTCTCAGCATGGCACCAGACATGCCGAAACTTGAATTCCCCCTCCATTCTCAGTGTCTGAAGCCACTGTCTCTCGGAAACCTGAGTTTCTGCGAGAAATCGCTGAGTGCAGCTTGACCACGCAACTGCAGTGGTTTACCGACAACATGGCCTCCCCTGCCAGCAGTGCATAAAAGGTATCCTGGTTCACAGATAGCAATCACAGAGTGTTTGTTTCAGCATTTTGCATTTGCATGGCTTGCCCTGCAGGTTGTTTGTTTTCTTTCGGGAAGGTAAGCTGCATGTGGTTTTGTAAGTGCCGGCTTGGGATTCGCATTCTGTCTTGTTAGCCCTTTGAGCACTGAGAAGCTGAGAACAGATCATCAAGAGCTGGCGTCAAGACTTTTGACGTATGCTTCGTTTGTCAAGTCCAGGTGGCGTATGGTAATACGCCGTGTAGATCCGTCGTATAGAGCCTGCCTAAAGCCAAAACTGCACACGCAATCGGAGGCAAGGTGCACTTACAACAGGGGTCCACGCACAAGCGAGTCTGTAGCTCCGCGACCAAAACTCCTCAAAGCAGCAATCCTGTTTGCATCGTGTGGGTGAGAGCATCCTGTAGGGTTGGAGATAGCATCGGCCAGCAGAACTTCAGCTGCCGTCCTTCTTGAAGCATCTCGTTGCCATGTTCTACTTTTCGTAAGACCCATATCATCATCCTGATTAGTCTTTTGTTGCTGGGCACAGCAACAAGCAACATCTTGTGAGTTACGTGGTTACGATGTTTGCTGATAGGGTTTTGCTCCCTAGACTTAAAGCCCGCACCTAGGGACCTAGTGCCAAGGCGTACCCCTATGGGGAGGAGTGGATGAAGCACCTCCTCGAAGACGACCTTTCCGGGGTGCGCCTGCGACAGTTTCTTGTGCGACTCGACCGGACGTGGGGGCACTCCGGTTCAGGTGTGCTTGTACACTGTACGCCAAAAAACCCTTCAAATCCCACCTCGTACACCCTCCTGCTCCTCGTGCACCGTGCCAGGCACTTGGGGCACCGGTGCCTTTGGATACTGAGGAAACTCCACCTCACACAGCAAGGAGCTCAAGCCACGAAAGGTGCAGTCGTGCTCGACACGTGTTTTCAGTCCATGCTGCTCTAGTTACCTATTGTGGTTGGGTTTGCCGCAGAGCTTCTATCTTGTGGCTTTTCTCTGTGTTTCTGTGTTAATTCAGCATGCCTGGCATTCGATATCAAAGCGTATGCCCCTGAATACGGGTATGTAGTTCGCTACAACATCTCTGCATTGGTTCCTGAGTAGTCTACAGTAGAGACGCACCATGCTGCTATGAAGTCGGTGCATTACTCAAGCTCCCATTCGCGTATTTTGCTGGCCAGGGTCTTTGCATCCTTGTGATGCTGAGTCGTCATCATCTGCGCAAGGTCGTTCTACATACGTGGGGCATACGATACTGCTAATTACTTAGAATTGCTGCATCGCGCCATTATCCAAGAAAGGGCATGCATGCCACCAGGCAAATCATTCGTGCTCTGCTTTTGTTGAAGATAATAATCTTCTATGTTTGCACTGGCATACTGTTGTTAGGTTGTCTTTGAAATCGATTTGTTGTAGAAAACACCTGCGTATTTCTATATTATTATAGATGTCTGAACGCTGTTACATCGTCATGCCGCTGCGAATCCACCACGGTCAGACCTCCGAGTAAAAACCCTTATAACCCTATCTAAACCTCTCGACCCTCTTGGCTCTGAAGGGCTGGGACTTCATGGGCCAAAGATATGACATCATCGTGTGGTATTTTCTCTAGTTGTCATGCTCTCTCCCAAATTTGTTCAGAATTCGTTAGCCGTTAGCATCAGGACACCTGGTGGGAACGGAAAGGATGGTGCTGGGCAGTGCTGAGGCGCGTTGGAGTTCTTGCTTTGGCTTTAGATCTCCTTGAACTTGCCCCACCTTGGGCAGGTGGTGCTACCATGCCACCCTGCTGGTGGCCCTGCACGGTTTTGCTCGTAGTCAAGAGAGAACGTGACACCTCCGAATCTCCAGCAGTCTCACAGCTAAGGCCACCAAGTCCGTTGCAAAGAATATGTGGCTAGGTTCCAGAATTGTGCTGCTGCCAGGTCATGTCCCTTCTTTCCAGTGCCCCGAGCTTAGCCTGACTCTGATCCCCACAGGCGCCAAAATTCCTGCACCCCTCGTGCGAGCAACTCCTATAGCTTGTATTCTCAGACTACTGTACACAGACAAACTATGGCTGCTCATTTTTGTGCTGTGCATGATTGTTACATGGTCTGTATCAGACTCGAGCCATCACTGACTTGTGGAATCCTGTGAGGTGGCGATGGTGTGTTGGATGATGCCTCAGAGGGTCTTCCTTTTGAGCTTCTGAAGCCTACACGGCTGGAGGTCAGGGAATTCACGAAGGAGTGTTTTGTGGGGTTCCGGGGTGTACAGCCGCGCGCTGCGCAGCCCAGCCCGGCACTTTGTCCGATAAACTCGGCATGTCTAAGATACCTGCAAAGCCGCGAGGGAGGCAACCACTGTTCTTCAAAAGAAAGCAGGCCCAAGCCGTCTGACGGCCCGCACAGCTCCCCTCAAGAATGACGAGCAATAAGACTTTGAGTTCTCCATAAACATGTGTTTCGAGTGTGTGTGTGTGTGTGCGCGCGTTACGACATGCATATATGTATATACACATACATACAGACAGATGTACACATATATGTGTATATGCACAGTATGTATATACATACATCTACATGTATGTGTATATATATATATGTATGCCTATATATGTATGTATATGTACGCGTATCTAACAAGTCGAGGCTTCTGCCACCACATTTAGACGTGGAGACCTTGCCTCCAGTCTACAACATCACCTGCTCAAAGGCTGGGTGGGGGCCGGTGCTGCGCTTTCGTGGTGTGATGAATGATCCGCCTTCAGTATTGGGCTTCAATGTCATTTTCTTACTAGTAAGGCCATGAGGGTTTTACGGGGTCTTATGTGTTTTAAGCGACTTGTCATAAGTGTGTTGAGGGTTTGGGGTTTGGTAAGGCCCTAAACCTTAAGGCCCACGCATATCCCCAGAGGTCCCAAATGCGAGGCTGCTTCGGACCAGAGTCCGCATGGTGACATATCTACTTTCGTTTTGTTTGGGGATGTTTGGGGCACAGAGTCTTCCTATGTGTGTGTAGCTAAGGGACCGATCACTAAATTTGAAGGCTTTGGACCTATAGCGTAACGTGTTATTGCAGCTTGTTGGAGCATGTTTGACCTTTGCGTCTGTTCCACTTGCTCCATTCCGCAATGATATGCTTCTGTGGCTCTGCGACTGTACATTGCAGAGTGCTGAGTCTCACGTCGTCGTTAACAGTCATACTAATCGCCAAAGCGTGCATCCCGCAGTGAAGCCCCAAAGGACAAGTTAGTCTTCTGAAGCACTGGCAGGAGGGTGTTTTGGACTACCTGAAGGCCGGGCTTCGATGATAGCTCAACTGTCTTGTGCTGATGGGATTGGGGCCTTCTTATGGACACCGGGTTCAGAGCATTATCATCTAACCGTATGACTCGGCAGAGCGGAGCACTCGATTGTCCAGAATTCCCTATAGTAATTGCGGCCTGAAATTGATGGTAGTGACCTGGCAGTGATGGGAACGATGACGGCCGTGGTCAAAGCGATGACTGGATGATAACAATGATGACGAAGATGGTAACGATAGGGAGAACGATGATGTTTGTTAATAACCATGGTGACGGTGATAACAGTCATGGTCGCAATGATGCCGATGATGAGCATGATGATGACGATGGTGACAACGCAGGTGATCCGCATTGATTTGCCGTGACGAAGGAGCGATGCGAAAAAGTAGCTGCGAAGAGACCTTTTTCACCGCTCTTTCCTTCGCCCCACAAAGCACAGCAAGATTTCCCGGCCTTCAGTCATCGGCCCCCACCCGCGTTAGCGCTTTCTCTCGGAATACTGGCTTCGGCTGCTTTGCTTCACAGACAAAGTTTAGGATTTTGTTTTTTGGTGGGGAGGTGCCTGATTTAAGGGCGTAGAGTTTAGTGTTTGCAGTCTTAGGCCCTATTCCAAATCCGAAACCAAGCCTCTCTGAAGCTCTGACACATCATTACAGCCAATTTAGAGAGGGTGGATTCTCTCAAGACAGGCTCTTTAGGAACTTCGATAGCTTCCTTCGAGATAAATAGCTAGAAGACCTGCCGAACAAGGCCCAGTAACTTCAGTTCTTAGGCCCTATATAATAAACCTAACCACATGAGCCCGAAACGAAGCCTTCAGCAGGGCAATCTCAGCGCCAACTGGGCCCTGACGAACCGAAAGTGAGGGCCAAAGCTCGAAAGCCTTTAAGACTCTTGGGTTTGTGGGTTAGGTAATGGGTGTTGATGGTTCGGGTCTTAGGCTTTCATGTTGCTATTCGCGGTTCAGTTGGCTTTGGCACGAACACCAGCCCTCTTTCCAAAACATACCTCTCCATGCTTTTACATGCAGTCAGCCAGGATTGTAGCTGTGATGATCTGACTGTTTTTGTGCGTGCCGGCAGCATCTGTCCGTGTTTTGCTTGTGTGTTCGTAGTGTTCGTACTTCCCCTTGGCTGTGCGATTTTGAACACTTGGCTGCGCGATGAAGTGCAGTATCGCGACCAGTAGTGATGGTCATCGTCGTTGTCATCATCATCGTCATCCTGCACGATGAATATCTGGTTCAATATCCGTCGTGGTCCTCGTGTTCGTTTTCGTCATCATCATCGTCATCATCATCAGGGTGTGGGTGAAAGGTGTCGGCGTTCGATATCAAGGGCGAGTCTTGGTGCCTCCTTACAGGACCCTCGATCCTGCATACCCTGGGCAGCCTGTGTAAACCCAAAGATCAAACCCGCGGGCCAACAGGATCGTTTAATATGAGTAAACAAAAGCGGCAAAAGAAGCGCAAAACCCAGGCTGTGAGAAAAGATCGGAACAGTTCTGGCCACAGAAGTATTCATAGTCGGTGTATATTTTTTCGGAAAACGGTAGATACTCGGGAGCCTATGTGCTAGCAGTAGCACGGGTCCAGGTGCTATACTCGAAGCTTGAGTATGTCCTACAGCTGTTTAGCACAGTCAGTAGTATGTTAGCCACTGACAACCATAGAAACGGAGTTGAAGTCCCATAGTAGTCGTATGAAGCGCAGCACAACGAACAACAGATATGTTGATGACCCTAGAAAAACAGCTAGGTCATGTTATTATCGTAGCCTAAGGCCTAAGGTTGGCCCAAAGCACGAAACGCCATGATCTCAAGCCTCATGCCCAAGAGCTTCGTTCTGCCCCCAGGCAAATCCTACCAGAGTGACGAGGCCTTCCATCTTAACCCCGAGTCCAAAAGCCGCGAAGACCAAGAAGCTCGACTGAAGCCAAAGCCGCAAAAGCACCCGAAAACGAGAATCCCCCAACCCTCGACCCCTCAAGCCTGACAACTCAAACCCTTCGCGCCTGTTGAGACATGAAACACGGACCACTTCCAATGTAGTGCCTGAGGTCGGGCTTTGCACAGGTGGCTGGAGGGGACTACTGGTCGTGGCCTCGGTCAGAGGTTCCTTACTGCGCTTTCCGGGTTTCGCCAGATTTCCTGCTCACATGAAACAGTTTGCACAAATCCTGGACCCAAAGCCCTAAACCCCAAGGCCCAAAATCCTGATGTGCAGACCTGTAAAGCCCACCCATTCGGCAAGGCGTAGGGTTTGGAGCTGCAATGTTTCTGGCTTCGTCTCAAGTTCAAAGGGATCATTAGTTGTTTAGGAGTTTTGGGTATAGGTGCGTTAACCTCGGCAACTTTCGAGGGAATCGATTGGGGGTCCTCATGATCAGGGATAGTGCTGCCACTTTTCCGTAGCTCCCGTACGTCGTGATATGCCAGGCTCCCACTGTGCTCTTCAATGGCATTCGGATGCCAACTCGGGTGCGACTCATGTCATGGCCGAAAGAGATTTCATGGGCATATGTACACACATACTTACATCCGTGCATGCATGCATACATTCATACATAGATCCTCTTTTCATCGCACCGTAGACCCACGACAACACTGCATTGTAAGGAAAGCATGTTGCGTTGGTTAGGCATCTCACGCAAGTCTCTCTGCCTATCCATCTACCTGTTTGTCTGTCCACCTTTCCGCGTGTTCTTCTCTCGCTCTCTCGCGCAGTGTCGCACATCGTCACACAGCGGTGAAGTGAGTCAGAACTCTTTGTATCCGTCCGTCCATGTACAGACGAGCCATTGCTGGTCTTGGCCAGAACGGCATTTTCTGACGGAGGGCCCCAATCAGCGTGCGTGCATGACGCCACCCCAAAGTATGTACTGGTAGCACAGGCAATACCATCGTGCGAGCATGGACGGGGGCGATATTGGATGCTCTTGTAGCATGGAAATCTTCTTGTTCATGAGGCTGAGAGTCCGATACGAACGCGCCTATAGCACAATGAACTCGAGAATTTACAGGCAAACGGCTTTGTGCCACCACAAGGCTGGTGTTCCCTTGAGGCCATCCAGCCAAAACAGAATGCAAAAAGCTGACAAGCAGTTCGCATGAAATTCTGAAACTTCAGTTCTATGGTTGCATACGTTTTTTTGCGGCTGGCAGCACATCGGCGGTAGGTTCAGCACGCGAAACAACACATTGCCCATGCATAGTCTTGGCCCGATCGACATGAACAAGCCTTCTGCAGGTACAGAGGCCATCCGAGAATCTCCTGCAGCGCCGAAGGAGATTACAAGGTGTGCGGAAGCCCAGGACATCTCAATCCTGGAATGTAAGCCTTGATCTCTTCGTTTTCTAGAACCGCATTGCGACGGGAGGCTGTTGCCGGCCAAGCCTCTCAAGCACAACGTTCGAGTTTGGGTGTCACGGTTGTCAGCGTGGAGGCCTCAATAGGCCTTCCTTATTGTTGTGTCTTACCGGTATAGACTCTGCTTTTCAGCCCCAAGCTTAAACCTGAAAAGCCTGGCGCCCTGAAGCCCTACGAAATTAACCCCCATACAAGCAATGCAATAAATTGACCAAAGCCTTCGTCGAAACCCACCGAAAGAGCACTTTTTTCCTTTTTGCCACCGAGGCATGGCATGTGTGAGCTCGTGGGCTGCGGAGCTCCACGGAAGGCGCTCCCTGGGGTTTTTGGTGCGGCTTCTTCGGATTTTCAGAGGGAGCCTGCCGGGTTTCGAAGGCGTGCTACGAGGGCGTTTGGGGGGGTTTGGTACAGGTCTCTTTTGGCTGTACAAGGGTTTATAAGGTCTTATGGTTGAATCTCTTCTTGATTTCAGGTTTCTGGAACCAACCACTCCATACTAACATTGCATTTGAAGTGCCAGGGACTTCTCAACACCCGACACTCCGACCATATTCCCTTTGTGTTCCTGGATTTGCGGCTGGTGATCGGCGCATATCAGAATATGACGTTTTACCGGTTCGATGTTTGCCAAGCAGTATGTACACCCACATAACCTACGAAAGAACGAACGGTAGTCAACCAACTAAACAAACCTAATTGCATGCATTCAGGCATGAATACAAAAATGTATACTGATCGGGGATGGTGAGAGGGATTCATTTTAAAAAGGGACCTGCTTACACGGCCTTTGCCCGAGGCGGCCAGGACAGGTTGAAAGTACCGTCGCTTGTTTTCCGCAAATCAGACTTGCACCCCGCCAACCAACCCAATGTAGGTATTATGCGGGCGGCTTGAGACCCCCCAAGTAAGTAGGTATCATCGCAAGTGTATACTTAGAGTCTCACTCGGGTGCTGTCGGGTGCTTTGTGCTGGCAGGTGGAGCATGCCAGCCCTGTCATTGAAGAACAGGAGGCCTTTTGCTTGCCATGGCCCACGCCCGAAGTCTCCTGTTAAGAGTTTTAGGGTGTATCGTCTTAGTACTTGGTTCTCGGCTTTACCTATCAGCTCCGAATTTAGTTGGTTCCTGAATGCGGTCAGACTTTCCAGAGCATACGCTGCAGGTGCGGTGGGGGCAGGGGCCGAAGGGGCGGGGATTGCAACTTTGAGTGCTATGCTGAATGATGATGATGATGACGATGATGATGATGATGTTAATGACGGTGATGACGACAACGACCCAGGTTGATGAGCATAGGTTACGAGTTCTGTTGTGTTTGTGGCTGACATGCTAACAGTCCTACAATCATTATTATAGAGATATGATTCTGACTAGTGTCAATGATTTTGCTACTGCCCCTAAGCCCTGCATGGACTCCTTGCCAGCGGGAAGACTCAAAGGGCATACTGTCAACACTCTTCGCACAGCATGCAAACACGGTTTGTAGAAGGTGATTGTTGGTTGCATGAACTATTGCGAGCTTTTTTCTCGTGGCGTTTGAGCGAGTGTGTTTGTCTGTGTGCGCCTGCATTCAGTTGTTGCTTGTTTTTTGGGGTGGCATGGGGGGATGGTTCTCAAGGTTTTCGCGTGAAGTGTCCCTGGAAGTCTGGATAAGTGGATAAGCTTCTTACAGCGAAGGAGGTCTTAGCCATGTCGTTCTTGCTCAGCGCTGACACACCTTCCTTAGCCGTATCGTAAGCTTCGCTAGAGTAACATGGGCCACTGCATTGCTTACATCGGGGGTTTTGTTGTCGTCGGTGGTTGGAGCTGGTCACCGCAGAGGGATTCGTAAAAGATATTTCAAAGCCCAGGACAGCCGCAAAAGTCCACGAAGTCTTATCTCCCAACCTGCAAAAACTGCGAAAGCCCTCACGTAACGCACGCCAGCATCAAGCCTCCACCTCCGAAAACTCTGACTACCTACTATGTATTATTAAGTGGCCCAAAACCTTTTGCAATCAACCGCAATCCCAGAAAACCCCAAAACCCTCAAAATCCTTCAAGCAGGCCAAGAAGGGATGGACGACCGGCATGACTGTCAAATACAGCTGCGATCGAGGAGCCCTGAATGAGTTGGTCGTCTATGGGAACTTCAGGGTTTAGGTTTTTGGTTTTCGGATTTAGGATTCAGGGCCTTAGGGTTTAAGGGTTTGGCTAAGGGAGCCCCCCATGCAAGCAAAACGCCTTGAGCTGTATTGTGCGGCATCTCGCTATGATCTGTGTGAACCTGTGGCCGTCAAGAGTCAAGGGGTAATTCTCTTGAAATCATATCTACGCTTTAGGACCCAGGTTGAAAACCATGGTCGTCGGAGTTAGGGAGAAAGGGCAAGGGAGGGCATAGAGTGCTGGATGATAAGGCTTACGGATTTCGGGGTCGAGATTGCGGTTTCATTTTCTGGCGTTTTCGGAGTTTAGGAGATCAGGATCTCGGAGGCCGGCTGGAAACGCTTGAGGGTTTAGGGGGCTCTTTTGTGGGAGTTAGTGGGTGGGGAGACCTGTATGCCCTCCGCCCCTTTACGGATACTGCAGTTTAGTGCTAGAGCGGCAGCAGAGTCCTTGCTTTCGGCCGGCTCGGTGCTTGGACCTGCTTATTGCCGCAGACCCTATCTAGATGACCAGCTCTGAGAAAGTCACCCGAACGGCAACACGAAGTCGGAGAGTCCCTCCTGACCCCTTCAGTATAACTTAAGCCCAAGACCCTAAAGCATGCATGACTAAGGATATTCTGGGCAAGCGTGGCAAGCTGAGCTTCCCGCATTTTTGTCCTTTGCCATTGCATTTTTGCTCAGGGTTTGACAAGCTTAGGTGAGGTCTAGGACAGAGAGGAATCCGAAATTGCTGCACTTGCTCTTGTGAGATAAAATAACGCCGCGACCTAGGGGTTTATAGGGTTTCGGTTTCGGGTTTCATACCAAATAGGCAAAGAACACAAGGAAATACCAAAGGTTGGTTAGGGGTGCATACGTGTCCCCGAAGGCGCAAGCTTTGGATTCTTTGCTGGTGGGAAAGAGTTTGTAAAATGCAAGAAACGTCCTAGACAAGGCCTCAGAAGTTTCAGTAGGGTTTGGGGGATCGATTGCTGCATGTATGACGCATGCTACTTCAGTACAAGGCGCCGTATGGTCTCGGTGTGGTGTGTCAAATCGGGGAACACCGGCTTGGACGCCAATGGCCAAACCCTTCTGATTGCCAAAACCAGATCACAGGCCCGAAGCTTTCTTAGAGAGCCGCCCAAAAGGTACCCAAACATGTATGTTTGAAATCCTTACCAAACCCAAACCAAGAAAGCTAAACCGAAAGCCCTGCCTAACCTTCGTACCAAAGCGCGATGAAGCTCCATATATTCGCAAGCAAAACACCGAGAACTCCCAAGAACCCACTAAGCAACCAACTCACAACGGCCCCCCGAGAAACGCTCAGGTTTGCCACCTGTGGCAACGACGGCGCCTGGAAGTTCGATGCTTCTCAGAGGCGCCTGTGGTTCAGGGCTGTGGGTTTAGGGCCTGTGGGTTTGCGGTTGTCGGGCGTATACGGGTTATAGGGTCCTATGGAAGGGTTGCAACAGGGTCTGACGAAGATTCTTTCAGTGTCTTGTGGGTGTGTGCTTAGACGCTTAGGGCTTCGCAGCGAGCCTATCCTTTGATTAAGGAGCAATTCTTAATCAAGGTATGAAGGGCGCAATACCATGATTCAAGATGTGTTCCTTAATGAAGGGTATTAGGCTTTGTGGGGCAGGGTTTATGCAAGGGTTCCAACAGTAGTGTTCAACAGTCTCGGCAAGAGTTTGATTAAGCATACTTCACAGGTGGTGCAGGGCTTCGAGGTCTTAGTAATGCGGTTGTATACGACCTTTCCTAAGCTTTATCAGAGATTGGCGGTTTAACGGATCACAGGTTCAGGGTGGGGAGTTGGGGCCAAGCTTGGGGTGTCGGGTTTGGGGTTTCTGCTGTTGGGGTTTGGGGGTTTTGACCGGTCGAGCCAAACGACCCTGCGCCTCCAGCTGCCTTGCTGACTCAGGTGCTCGCTCGTTGGTTGCGGTGCCCTCGAGACCTTTCTGCAGCCGGACACTCAGATTCACACAAAAAAGATGTAGTTTTGCCGTTGTCGTCAGAAGGCAATCTGGGCCTACGTACCTGAGAGGGTTGCTTGTTGCAGCAGAATAGCACTAAAGCTAGACTCCTAGAACCTAGCCACCTGAGCCCCTAGCACAAAACACAGTAATTACCATGACAGAGAATCCTTCCATTGCAACCTTGAGCCTCCCAGGTCCTTTCATTGGGGCGCATCTGATGGATGGCCACAGCCCCCAGATTCGACGTTTTCGCCCTAAAGCCCCTATACTCCCTCAACTCTGAACCTCAAACATGGAAGCCCTGAACCCTGGATTACAGCCCTTCACCCTCAGCCCTGTTGGGTTTTCCGACCCAGAAATACCAACAATTTTGAATCTCAGAAGCCAACGTTCAGTGGGTGTAATCTTACGGAGACTGCTGCTTGCTAGCTTCAGGGTTCCCTGGCACCATAAAGCCCTGAATCTATTGCCCTCTACACCAAAGCCCCAAACCCAAAAGCCGTAGATGGCTTCGGGCGTCTGCCCATGATTTCTGGTTCGATCTTCGTGTTCAGGTGGAGGGTTTGGGTAGGCATCTAGGGTTTGGGGCTGAGGCGAAGTAGGGTTGGAGTTGGGGAATTTCTGAGGGTCAAACAGAGAGAAAGAGCCTCATGTTACCATGTTGTTGTGTTGGTACAAAAGGATTCAGCTGGACCTCAGTCACGAACCGCCTACCTCCATAGTCAGACCTCCCTGTGAGTTCTCAAAGTCACATCCCCTTGCACGCCCCGAACTTTACTACAAAATGTCGGCTTTGCTTGCTGCACCTGCAACTCTTGTTATTGCCTGTTGTGTATGCCGACTCCCTGCCCTTACCCCACCACCCAACTCTTCAGCCGCATTTCCTGAACCCGAATTAATCACCCTCCCGAGACCCTAAACCCTAAACCTCAGACCAGGCCCCGAAACCCGAACCCGTCGAACCGTACTCCACTAGAACTGTTAGAACCCTCCGAACCCGCTGTACAGCCTCATCAACCGCATTTAAACAAAACCTTCAAGCCTCCCGAACATTGCCGCATGAGGCTCCTCGTACACTTATCACGAGATCAAGTCCCTTCGTAAAGTCTCAGCCTTACGGCCACACGTGTTAAACCCGCAGGCGAGAGGCCATGTCTATGGCCCGGGAACTCAGAGCATTCGGCAGGGGTGGTCGGTTTGCGAGTCGTGTATCCTGTTCATTTAAATGAGGTGGGTGTGCACCCTTGTATTGAGAGTCTTTACAGGGTCGCTTTCTCAAAATGCGGGGGTTGGCTTTGGAGTTAATGGCTCAGGGTAGCGAGGACAGGGGTGATAGGTCAGGAGGCTGTCTTGGATGTACGGATCCTTATGAAGAGGATCCTACGATCGAGGGTCTATGTTTCGGGCTTATGCATTTGAAAGCTTGCTTTGGCAGGAATGGGCAGGAAAAACTCTTCACCCCTTCACCATTGGTTTAACTACAGCAAGGCCCTGTGTCAACCAAAAGGCCACTGAAGCAGCTGATTACAACACACAGGTGAAGCACTTCTAGCGATCGCGCATCGTGAAGTAGTACCGTAGTCTGCGGAAGCCAACCAGCTGCAAGCTTGGTATCGATGGCTGTTGCGGTTCGGGCAGCCAAAGTACTTTCAAGCTTAGATCATCACAGATTCGAAGAAATTACTCCCCGAGCCCAAACATCCCCGGAGGGACTTGGATGGTTGACTCCTACCAGCAAACGAAACGGAGGGCCTAGGAGAGACTGGGATGGTCAACAGAAGCCAACTAAATTCCGGCTTAGGGATTCTAATGGTAGTTCCAGAACCTGGCCGCACTAGTCGAGGGTAAGCCAAAACCTCCCAAAGCCGAAAAGTATAGAACCCAGTAGGACCCGCTGGGGCCTTGAAAACGAACCTCGTAGAACTCTCAGAGGCCCCTGAAGCCCACAAACTTGTGAGTATAAAACCGAAACAGTTGTGCAAACTACGCCCTAGACTTCCATACCGTTCCAAACGGCAAAAGCTCAGACCGGAGAGCATGACCTCGATCGGAGCTACGTGGGTGAGACAGCCGCCCGACAGCTTTTGGCTTGGACTTTTAAGGTGGGATTTTCACAGGGGTCGCATAAGGGGGTATGTGGTTTGTTCGGTGTGGGGATGGTTTGAGTGCCATACAGCTTAGATCCGAGGTGGTGTAGATCGATTGGGTTGCACGGGACCTCCCCTTTTTGGATTCGAGCAGGTAGCTTTGACATCTGAGGGGTTTCGTGCGCGACACTTACAGGCGCTGGCCCCGAAACCTTTGCTCTGAGACCCGGACATGAGCTCCAAACCCTATACCCTCGCCATAGAACCCCAAGACTGAATTTACAAAGCCCTGAAGGGCGCAGGGTTCGAGGTGCACTTCACATGTTCGCCCGGCTACCGCGGCCGACCGGTTGCCCTTTGCCACGAAGGAGGCCGGAGCGGGGATAACGGTTAGTTGGGGATAAAGAGGGTTTGAAGTTTCAGTGATTTAGGGTTTAAGGTGTTGCAACAGACTTCGCTTAAAGAAAGGCTTTTGGGCAACGGCTTGGACATCTTGACTACAATCGGAAGCTTGCTTCAACTTCTGGCTATCCTGCGCCAGCCAGCTCTCCAAGTACGAGCATCTCTCATAGTCAGCGCCGTCAGCGCCCTATCTCGTCAGGGCGCTGGAGGATGTCCGACGCTTGCGAGCCTTTCCAGACGTCACTGAAATGTCACTGCAAACCGCGCTGGGCCTGACTCCCAGTTGTACCAAGCAGGTTTAGGGTTGAAGGCTTAAGGTGTGGGCTAACGGGTCTTTGAGATTTAGCTTGCACGGTTTAGGGCAACTTTGACTGACAGGGTTTCAAAAGAGTTGCTTAAACTCAGGCAGGCAACTGCGTTCCTTTGGGTTTGCCTGTTATTGAGTTGAAGAGAATCCTGTTAAGTACTAGTTCAGACGCTTTAATAGTTTAAGCTGCACACGCAGGTGAGCATCACAGTAAGCTGTCGAAAGAGTTGAGTTAGGATCTTTGTGAATCATCACGGCCCGATTGACGTGTTCAGCCATTTGAAGCTTACAACATTCCAAACCCTCAACCATCAAAGTCGGCACCGGTACAACACTCTCAAGACTCAAGACGTGGGATCTGCCTCGAACTTCAGACTGGGGTTTGAGTTGTTGCCGCCGCTGCGCCTCAGTTCCGTTCGCTCACCCCTACAACCTTGGGCTTCACAAGATTAGCTGCCTGAACAATTAATAGGAACAGGGTTGGCGGTATGGTCTGCTTCGTATTGGAGAAAACATGGACTGCGTATCGGACTCTTGTCAAATTCATCACGCTCCAGTCTGAATAGTACACGGCCTGATCCCGAAAATAGGTTCCTGGCGCTCACTCAGGTGCAGTGTGACGGCTGGCTGGGGACCGATTGCAAGGCTTGCAGAAAACTGGCTCCTGGTGATTGAGGGTCGAAGTGGCTTGGGGCAGGGGGTCGAGTTCAGGATATCTTCGACTGCTTTTGATGCGGGCTACCAGCCTTGCCTTGCGCACAGGAATGGTACGGCTGCAAAGCCAGCACTGATTCCTACGACTGGTGCGAGGTGCTTGCGGATCAGTCTGGCCAACGATGCTTCCATCTAGGTTTTCTGGCTCGGTGTTGGAGGGTTTCGACCTCAGTGACTTCGGGATAGGGTCGCACAGCTGCTGGAGAGGGTTCATAGGGCCGGGAGGCCAAGTAGGCAAGGACAGAAGCAAGGTTGGAATGCCCATGTAGTTGTGTATGTGCGTATGTGTACGTATATGTATAGGTATAAATGTTATGTGTATATAGATATATCTGTATATATGCATATACACATTTGTATACGCATGTAAAGGATCTCTATATATGTATAATATGTAAGAGGTTTATGTGAAAGGTGTTTGGTGCTTTAGAGTTTAGGTTCTGCGTGGTCGGTCTTTGGCGTTGAGAATCAGGGTCTTTACATTCCGGGCTTCAGGTTGGGCTTCCATGAGCCTCCTTAGAGTGAACGGGTTTCTCCCTACGATTTTTTCATTTCTTTTTCTGTAGTACAACAGTATAAGGGGTTTCTGACGGATATTCTGTTCGTCTTGAGTCCAATTTAAGAGTTTATAGTGAATCTGCTAGAGCGTCCCTTTGCAGGGGGACAATAAAGACCTTAAGAGACCTTTAGCTCTGGAGCTTAGGGCAACTCATTCTGAGTCATACAACCCAGCAGAACCAGCACCAACAGAAACAGTTTTCACAGGCACCATATGGGATCTGTCAAGAGCAAAGCAGTCCTTTTCGACCCTCCAACCAAGCCATGGGAGGTAGATCCGCAGTCTTGCCCTCCAGAAGCCCACGACTTTTGGGGCGCTTCGGCTTCACACAATCACCTGATGGGTTTTTTGGCGAATAAGGTTCTAAGGAGTTGTGCACGGTGCGTGTACAGGGTATAACCATGTCATTGTATACGTGTTTGCTCGAGCTTCTCGAATATGGCGGACCCGTCATTGAGGAGGGTAAAATCCAGAGCTAAAATCTAGAGCCTGTTGCGCAAGGATCATACGGATGTTCTTAGACTTTCGAAGCATTGGGTCTGTATTGTAAATTGTGAGTTGTGCGGGGATTTGACTTTGTGTTCAGGGACTTGGTGTTCAGGATGTTGAGTTCGTGTAGGCAGGTGGCGGGGGGCGGTCGGTAGTTTGTTCGGAACCAAACTCCATATCATTTTTCACGCCATACAATTCTGTCAAGCCTTTGCAATGCCATATTGAACCGAGAGTCGTAAACCCCTAAATCACGCCGACTAGTGCGGTACCTCTGCTCAAATGCAACAAGCTCTTGAAGCTGCGGCGTCCCTTCAATCTGAAGCCCTGAGCTCGATTCGCCTACAACCCTGACAATGCCGGAGCCCGAAAATCCGAAATCATTTAGGCCTGAACCTGAAACTAGAGTCTCTGGAGCATCGGTGGCTTCGAACATCAAGCTCGGTCAGTTTAGGGTTCCAGGAGCGCCGAGGCTTGGGGCATGCATAGACCCGAGGTCGAGGATGCATGTGTGCGCTTTTGAACTGTATTTTGATGAAGCCGTAATCATTTAATCATCCACCACGACCCCGACGCAAGCCCGACCACAAGATCTAAAACTGTGAAGCTCTGAAGCCTCATCCGAGACAGCCTTCTGTGATTAGTTCTTCTTTGTTCAGGCGCAGAGCCTGCCTGGGACTACTGCGTGAACGACAATTTCAATATCCACTGGGGGCCGAAAGCAGTTGCAGACAGAGGCCCACTCCCAGATTGCCCAAGCTGTAAATTAAAACCTTAGTTCCAATGCGCACACTCTCCAACCCTAAAACTCTAATTAACCCTAATCCTACATTCAAAGCCCCTCAAGAACATTGTAAATGCTGCTGAGCCCTTTTCCCTTAAGAGCCCAAACCGCTTACAGCCTCTGAATGTTACAAAGCAACACCCTTATACAGCATGAAAATCCGAAATCCTGCGTCACTGTCCGCGTTCGCTGCCATGACATGCCATGACAGCTTGTGACTGTCATCGTTATTGGACAAAGTCGGGAGAACTGTTGCAGCCTTGCGGACTACTTGGCCTTGGCCAACGAGATACAATTTTCGCGATGTTGCCTGCTTCTCCTGCTTTCTTCCCTACCTGTCCTAACTGGTTTCGTTGGCTTCGCTGTGGTGCCAAAGCTCGAAACAACTTACAGCGAAAGAAACTCCAACCGAAACCTGCGAAGATATGTTTTCAAGATGAGTCGTCTGTAGGGCTTGCAAAACAGCGTTGGAGTCGAAGATACAGAAGCGTCTTTCGCAGCATCCGTGGGGACCCCAAGATCAGAGCTTAAGAGTTTGGCCTTCTCGGTTTGTTTTGTTTTAAGGGGTGTCGTTGTGTGTGTGTGTGTGTGTTTGTTTTTGCAGGAATGCCCGAAGTATTCCAAAGGTTAGACTCCAAACCTGAAGCCCCGCACTCTTCCGTCACCACGTCGCACTGGGCAGGCATCTTGCCAAAGACGGCAGGACTGTACATAACTTTCCTCTTGACTGCTGCCACACCGGCTCGACTTGGCTGTTCGCTTCAGACTTGGTGTTCAGAGCATTGTTTCTGGGGCGTGATGTCTGCGGACTGCTGGAGTTCGGTGCTTCGGGCCTGCAGTGTGATTTTCTGTACAGTTTAGCCTGTGGTGAGAGGACCAGCATCCCCGACGACATTGCCTTGTCATCTGCCACATACACAGCACGTGATGCGCACAATTAACAGCCATGCTTCATTGACTGTACACACGATCATGCCAATCCTGCAGAGCCCGAGATGTTTACACATTGAACGTCCGGGCTCATCGTAAGGAGTGATGATCCCCGTGCAGGGGATGGTTGGAACGCGTGCGCGCAGCCTTCTTTGCAGATGCGACAAGAGTTTGAGAAAGGTAGTCTAATGTCGTTCGCGCTGTGCTATGTCCTTGCATGCAATGCATTAGAACCTCTTCTCCGAGGCGTCTCAGTGTGCATCGATAGAGGTTCAGGACGACGCACTTAGGGCTATGCCTGCCGATCCTTTTCAGTATTTTGGTAGAGCAGAGTCGCCGCCGTGCCCTTGCCAGGCTGTTTCCTTCTTTTGCTTCCTGCATCTGACTCTAGCCAGGGCCCTGGGCGTTCCGCGGCGTTTCTGACCTTGTGGGTGTCAATGTTCGGATACCCAATTGAATTACAGCTCTAGAAGATGGAAGCACGTTAGGAGCTAAGTGTTTCGGTTCCCGGTGTCTTCCGGGAGGCTCACTCTTCGTGATCCTTACAAGAAAGGCGCGAGATGCAAGACTTAGAAAAGGACTCACTATGCATGGGTTTTCGTGCTGCGGATCATTTGCATTGGAAGTTCTTTGGAAACTACGAGATTCAACGGTACGCAGCCTGTCGGCGTCCAGTCAAATTCGATAGTTAAGTGTGGAGACCTGCAGCACAAGGCCCGAATCTTGATTCCGAACACGTCACTGCGTTCTCGGGAATCTCCGTCCTTCAGGCCACGGCGAAGAAATGCGCTGTCGCGTCGCAGCTTCGGGCAATCCCGCCTAGTTCCGTTTCAGGGTGCAGATTCGTGGTGTTGGGTTTACATAGCGTATTTGAGGTCTAGGGGCTTTCGGACTTCGAGGTTTGAATGTAGGTTTCACGAAGGTTGCTGTCAGACGCAGTGAATCCTGAACCCTACACTTCAAGCAGATGCATTGCAGGCACTCAACGTCTACAGGTTCTGTGTCCCAAAAGTTCGGTACCGTGCGCAAGCACATTGCCAAATAAACATATCAATCAGCATTTAGGTGTGTATGTATGTATGCATACATGCATGCATGCATACACACACACATATATATATATATATATATATATATATATGTATACACACATGTATACATACATACATATACATATACATGTAGACATACAGACACATATACCTATACATATACATGTACATCTACATCTACATATGCATCTGCATATTCATTTACAAATGCATGTACATATACATAATATACATATACATATACTATACACCTTCATCTACATATAACCAGTACATACACATCGGAATGTAATTCAAATACATATAAACAGGCACAGACATACACACTTGATGAGTGTAAAGGGGTAGATTTTTTTGGTAGCCTCTGGTTTCGACACTGAGGGTTTTCTTTGGCTTGAAACCTCTGGAGCCTAGCTTGCCAGATCGTCGTATCTCTTCGACGCTGTCTATCCAGAACACCTGGCTTCACAAGACGTCGATGGAGATTGCCCGGCGTGTTGAACGACCTTTGCGGTGAGTTCTGAATCAGGATAGCAGTAGCTGTTAGAGCAGTATGCTGGCTTCGATAAGGGCCCTACAGGGCACATCAGGGGAGCATAAGCCTGGAACAACTCCCATCTTGCTTTCCAGTGCCAAGTCGGAGGCTTGATGCAGCATTCTCCTGGCAGAGAAGGTCCTAGGATGTTCTAGGTAGAACGGAGCTGCCAGCCATCGCGATCCGTTTTGCACGACTGGGTTGTTCACCAGCAGCATAATGCCTCGCTGGCATGACAGGAATCATCATGTGGGACATTCGCAATGCTTGTTATGCAGGCCGTGGCACGTCTACGTGCGATGGTCAAGTCATCGAACGCTTGCGTTGTTGCTTGAAGGTTCTTCTGCAATTGCAGATGCTTCGTCGAGGCGCCTTGCCAAAGTGTGCCGTGTTCACTGATTGTCCGAAGACACCAAATCGAATCGGCCTTGCTTGTTCAGAGGCTGCGAAAGAGAACAACCGATCTACTGGCCCGGGCTGTGTTCGGCGCTTAGTTTTTCTCTGTTCCCAAACACAGCAACAGCAAAACCCACCATCTCGAGGAGCTACGTACAGATGGCCCAGGCGAGCTGCAGGTTCATGGTTTTGTCTTGAAGCCGCGAGCTTACTACCGGATTTTATGGCTGAGGCCTTAAATCCTCGCCTAAAGGACAGAGAGGTGCTCCTATCATCTTTTAATCCGGCATTCTGGTTGGCATTCACGCCCTCTTTCCAAGACGCTTTTGGCCTTGTGGTTGGCATTTACGCCCTCTTTCCAAGACGCTTGAATGTATCTTTGCGTGTATGGTTTATAAGACTTAATAGTGCAGTGCAGCTGGAGGGTGGGTGTTTCCAGTCCAGAGGGTCCTGCTCACAGGCGGCCTGCCTCACAAGGGCACAAGCCAGCTGCGATGCACTGCGGACGGGGCCTCAGTTCCCCAACCAACTCGCTTGAATAGTGGGCTGTTCCCTGTGTACATCAGGGCAAGACGCGCACCATACAATAACTCAAGAGATACTTCTAAATTTGGTGGCTACTGAGCTCTCTGCATCAGAGGTATGCTGCATGTTCCAAGGGTGAGGGGGAAACAACTGCCTGGTTGTAATCTCTTGTTGGAAACACCGGCATGGCTTTGATAGATAGTGTAGACTCATCAGCTTCAACTGGTGCAAAGTTCTGTGGATCCGAGAAACTACGCTGCGCGCACAAACCACCACCACCACCACCTCCACCACCACCAAAACCCGTGACCCGGACAACGGCCATGGCGGCGGCCACGATGACCACCACGGTATGATGACGAAAGCCACAGAGACTCCACGTGCTATCGTTCCGCAAATCCTTCTCATCCTCCTACTGCTGCTGCTGCTGCTACTACTACTACTACTACTACTACTACTACTACTGCTACCACCTCCGCTCCCACCACTGCTACCCCTACCGCTGCATCTACCTCTGCTACTGCCTCTACGACTCAGACGACTACAACGACTACCGATACTACTCGTGCAGCTGCTGCTTCACTACGACTGTGTCGGCGACGTTCATGCTAGCGTCGTGATCATCGCAGGGCTCATCACGTAGCAATGCGTTTTGTTTGTTGATCTTTGGTTTTCTGTCGCAGGCAAAGAATCTCCGCAGCATCCAGCTGCCTAGGGAGGCTAGCCTTGGGCTTACAGATGTCTTTCGGCTTTCGTGCAGGGCTACGAGCAGGCAGTTCGATCTTCTATGGCTCAGCGGTTGGATGCGAGAGAATTTCGTCCGTCATAGCCTTATGGGTTATAAGTTGTCGGTTTTGCCGGCCTTCAGGGAAGGATGCGGAAAGGCATCCCGTCTTTGACCAGCTTGTATGTAGGTTTTGGGATTACATTCAGAGGAACGCAAAATCTTACGGTGACTACTACTGCAAGCTTCAATTCAATAGCTACCGCCGACGTAGCAGCAAGACTAAGGGTGATCATGATAATCACGGCAGTAAGGACAAGGTGAAAACTAAGACCTCATCGGGGAAGCCACGTCCCGCAAAACCGTGCTGAGTTGGCTGTCTTGCCCACGGAAATCTGTTTTGAAAGGAACGGTGAGCAGGATCGAGTGGATGTAGTCTCCGGCTGCAGAGCTGCAAAGGTTTAAGGGCTCTTCCGCCAGGTCAATGTCGAGCAATGCAATCAAAGAAAACACCGCGATTATGCACAACCAATCAGCATCGTGCTCTCTAAATGCTACAATCCCTAAACTGGCCCTGATTTTGAATGGCTTTGCAGGACACCCCAGCTTATCAAGCCCAAACCCTGAGCTCATTTTCCCTCACACAAGCCCTTACGGCATTTAGAGTTTTGGGTGAGGTTGAGCACTTGGGTGTAGCGTTTCTGAGCATCGGAGCCCTCTCGCTATGGTCTTGCGGGCTTTCACGAAACAGACGGATTGAGGAAATTACTGTAGGCAGCCTCTATGAAGGACGAGGAAATAGGACCATTAGCCAGATCACTCTGGACCCTGAAACCTCGAATCCTATCCCTGACTCCTGCAGGATACCGAGCCGACTTTGCGTGTCCGGCGTGCCTTGGAAAACGATTAAGCATATGGGCAAGGCTCTCCATGTTTCCGCAGGAGCCTTCGTCCAAAACCGGCCCCAAAGACAAGAAGTGCCTGTCTGTCTTAGGCGTGTTTTCGACTTGTTCAGGGTTGACTGATACGAGTCGTTGGCTGGGGGTTCCGACACTGCCTGCTTCACTCGGGTCGAGGGCTTAGTTGCCAAGCTACAGGCTTGAGGCTCGGCTCTAGCCTTTCTGGTTGTTGGTCTTGGGGCGCTTCACGGCCATCAGGGTTCCTGAATAAAGGTTTCAGCATCTAAATATGTCGAGAATCCCGAAACCCTGGAACTGTTGTGACGTCGGTCTTAGTTGTGGGTGTGGTCGGTGCCTATAAAGCCTCAAGTAAACCATCTTGTGCGCGCATCCATGAACAGTCTGACGATTCTGTGCATGTATCCCGCTTTACCTTTTCGTCCACCTGTCCAGCTTATCGTCCATGGAAATATATAATATACATAACAATTGTGCGAGACAGAGAGACAGGAGGCATCAGACAGTGACATACATTGAAGAACTTCAACGTTGAGTGAAGTTGACCCTCACGATGTCTGGATATCGCGCCTCTCAAAATGGTACGACATCTGATTTCGGAGTTTGGCACGCTGGAGCTCGAATCTGAAACGCGCCCATTATGGTGAGGTTAATGTAGATATCTACTCTGCATGTCGGCTTGAGAAATCTGACAGGAACATGCCCTGAAGCCCTGCGGAACTCTTGAACCACCGCATGAAGCCTGCGTAGCCGCAGCATCATTCGAGGACAACAGTCTGCGGGCTCCGATCCTGCCAGAAGGCCGCTTGCTCAGAGTCTCCAAGGATCAAACAACCGGTTGCCTGTCAGCCTGAACACGAGATGACGTATCTTGCCTGGTCCGGGCTAAAGTGGAGGTGAAAACTATCAACAATCACGACGAATTTGATCCTGATGATGAATGCAGCAGTGATGTCGAGTTTGTGATGAGGGTGGAAACGATCCCTTGGACGACGAGGCCCGTGTTGCTGCCGATGACGCTGATAACGAAAGCAACGATGATTTCGATGACGCGCGTGATGCTGGCGCAGGAGCAGCAGCAACAGCAGTAGTAGTAGATGTTGTTGTTGTAGTGGTACTAGTACTATAGTACATAGTAGTAGTAGTAGTAGTAGTAGTAGTAGTAGTAGTAGTAGTAGTAGTAGTAGTAGTAGTAGTAGTAGTAGTAGTAGTATGTAGTAGTATGTAGTAGTATGTAGTAGTATGTAGTAGTATGTAGTAGTATGTAGTAGTATGTAGTAGTATGTAGTAGTAGTAGTAGTAGTAGTAGTAGTAGTAGTAGTAGTAGTAGTAGTAGTAGTAGTAGTAGTAGTAGTAGTAGTAGTAGTAGTAGTAGTGTATAGTAGTAGTAGTAGTAGTAGTAGTAGTAGTAGTAGTAGTAGTAGTAGTAGTAGTAGTAGTAGTAGTGGTAGTAGTAGGAGTAGTAGTAGGTAGTACGTAGTAAGTAGTAGTAGTAGTAGTAGTAGTAGTAGTAGTAGTAGTAGTAGTAGTAGTAGTAGTAGTAGTAGTAGTAGTAGTAGTAGTAGTAGTAGTAGTAGTAGTAGTAGTAGTAGTAGTAGTAGTGGTAGTAGTACTAATTAACAAGAGCCGCAGCAACGAAAGCACAGCTACGGCTCCTGCTGCTGCTGCTGCTGCCTCTGCTGCTGCCTCTGCTGCTGCCTCTGCTGCTGCCTCTGCTGCCCCTGCTGTCTCCTCCTCCTCCTCCTCCTCCTCCTCCTGCTCCTCCTCCTCCTCCTCCTCCTCCTCCTTGTGCAACTGCCACTGCTTCATTTATTTCTATTCTATTGTTGCCGCTGATGGAAGTATCAGCTACAAAGGCAAAGGCGGCACAGGATGAGGACAGAGAAACGGGATGGGTCAAGCGACAACAGTGTTTCGAGCTTGAGGACAGTATTGTCACAAATTTGAGTGAGAGTGAGAGAGAGAGTGAGAGTGCGAGAGAGAGAGAGAGAGAGAGAGAGAGAGAGAGAGAGATAGAGAGAGAGAGAGAGGGGCGTTATCGTTCACCGCAAAAGCGCATTTGCTCGAGTCTGCTAGCAGATGAACATCTGATGCAGAAGCAGAGTGAAGTGCTAAAGGTGTGTCAGTTCTACGTTGGTTCCGGCGATATGAACTCTCGAGCTTCGAAAGATTGCAGACATGTGGCAGAGGCGCTGGCGCAGATGATTTGGAAAGGCAGCGATGCTGGCAAGGCCGTGCCGCCGTGTGAAAAGCTCTGGGAGGACTTCGGGCTCAGTTGGAGCCCTGGCCAGTAATTACAGGGCCAGGGGCGTTCACAGTATTTTGCAGCGCCCAAAGAGGTCGCGGTGGAAGTGTTCAGGCCCCATACTGCATTTGCCTAAATCTGCTGACTCTGATATCTCCCGTTGCTGACCGGAAGGCCTCTTTTGTCAAGGCACGGACGCTGGCTCAGGGTTTGGGTTTTCAGTTTTAAGGTTCAGTTTTGAGGGGTTTAAACGCTTATGTGATCAAGGTTTAATCAAGGGAGTGAGGCATGCTACAAGACCATCACAGGGGCCATGCTTTTTTTTGTCCGCGGCAACGGAATGGTGCTTCAGGTCCTGGATGTCGATTTGAAGTGGGAATTATATGTCATGGAAACCCCCAGGCCTGCTTATCTCCAAGTCGACTGCAATATCTGTTAAGAGGCTCCGCGGAGCCGAAACGCCTCACTTTGGATTACACAGCACTTTTTTTGCTGCGCTCGAAATGTTGGGATTCTACAAAGGGGCTGCCTTGCAAGAACTCAGCTTTGGACAAACAAGCCTGGACTGGATGACTTATACCCGAATACCACCATCATTCATCATACCCTCGACAATGGCGTAAGTGGCGACGCTGGCGATGACGACCAACGGCTTTCGCTCTTGTCCTGCTGAAGCTGGGGCTTCTGCTATACCGGCTATTGGCTATTGGTGCTACTGCTGCTGCCGCCGCCTCTTTTTGGGGTGCCTTCACTTCCGGTCTCCTTGTCTATCGTGTTTTAGCGCTTCTCACCCCACAAGCCTCGATCCTTGACGTAGGACAAGCCCGCAAGCAAGCGAGTGTATGTTATTGCAGGAAGCAAGCCGCGTAGCAATAATTCCTGTGAGGCCTACCACTCCCAAGACCCCAAAGACTCAAACCCTCGCATCCCAAATCCTGAACCTGCTGTGCAGCACCTGATAACCTATGCCTAACACCCGAAGTCCTACGCCCTAAAGAGTCCTAATAAAACCCGGGCCTAGAGCCGCAAAAAGGCCACCAAAACCCGAAGCTTTGAACCCCATCGCCCTCAAGCCTCAAGCCCGAAACCCTCCAAACAATGCCAAAGCGCTTGACACTCAGAAGTCCTGAACAAGCGCAGGTCAAACCTCCAAGCTTCGAGCCTTCAAAGGCATCTTTCGCCGGAGACTCGGGCTGGGGCTGGCAGGGGTATAGAGGCCTATGTTCCTCGGGGCCCTTTAGTATATGTAATGTATAGAAGTACAGAAATCACCACTTCTAAGTTCGGAAATTACGGTTTAGTGGTTTGGGGCTCTGGGGGGTTCAGGGTTTTGGGTTTCGGGTCTAGGGGTTTAGGAGTTTCCCGGTTTTGGATTCAGGGCCCAGGCAGCAGGAATTGGGGCTTAAGGCTCAGTGACTCCTCAACATTCAGCTTTACACCCCGAAGCTGCAGCCGAAAGCCCGAAACCCAAATCCCGAAGCCATCCCAGAGCCGTCAAGCCCTAAACTCAAAGAACCCTGCGTAGACAAATAGAGAAAGCAGGTCATCTGTTATTGAAGCCGTTGTAGACCGTTGAGAAAGGCCCCAGAGGCCCCAGAGGCTTGAATATTACAAATACCCGTCCTTACATACTTACAGGCTCAGAGACTATTAATGCTAGTGTGGGAAATCCCACAACCCTGGTCTAAGTGTTAATGACTTTAGACTCTTCTCGAGTGAACACCATATGACCAGTCGAGAACAGTCTCAAACCAAACCAAACAAAAGCGAAACAGCCTAATGTTCTGAGGGAACAACCCTTGATGCCCTGCACCGGCACCATGCGACAACATCGCCTTGCCGAAGATCCTATAGGCCAGGTTTCTAGAAGTCATGCGAAGTCTAGGGTTCTACAACTTGTCTAAAAGCTTAAAATGGTTCAATAGGTTTTTGGTGCAGGGTTCTATGGGGTGTGTGACATCTGTTCGAACGGGATCTGTAGGGTTGCACACGCTTACGTCAAAAGGGTGTTACAGGTGAGACTCCGTAGGGTTTTCCAATGTGCCACGTTGTAGGTTCTGTCGTATAGGAGTTTGACAGGGCTGCACCAGAGGAGACTGACTGACAATGGGATCAATACGAAAGGTGAGAGTGCACTAAGTTACATGCTCCGACATGTTTAGTAAGCCTCAATCCAAAACCCTAAACTCAGTTTAACCGTAAGAGTACGGGGACAGCATTGCCGACGTGGCAGCTGCATTACAGCGCAGTCCTAGCCAGCAGTAGGGGGTAACTTAGAGAATCCTAGTATGTAGGGTCAATCATCATATTGAGTGCAAGTGCAGCTTCACTTTGTGCAGGTGCAGAGGGAAGACGTGCCTGGACGCTGAGGACCAAGAGAGCCGCTGCTTTGATCTTGAGGTCTCTAACATGGTGCTTCTGGTTTCGGACTTGAGCTTTGTTTAGGGTTTCGGGGTGTAGGGTAGCTGCCCTACAGAAGTCGAATCTATCTCCCAGTTTAGGCTGAAAGGCGCAATCTCCCACGGCGGTACATCCTGCATCTATCCGCAGGAAAGCCGTGGAGGAGTCTAGGCTGTTTTCGAGCACATCAGAATGTCAGAACAGTGCAACGGCGGTTTGAAGGAGTGAGACTGAGAATATGCCCTCCCAGTCCAGAGTTGGAGTGGGACCCAAAGCTGACCCAGGTTCAGAGGGATCTTATAACGGGTTTACAGTTTCGTTTCGGTATTATTTTAATTAAGGTTACCAAGACAAGCCCCAATCCCCAAGCCATTTACAGGTGCAGTGCAGTGTGCAGGAGTGGTTTGACGATTTGAAGACACCCCTGGAACGCGAACGACGCATCACAAACCCAAACACCTGCACCCCAAACCCTAAACACAATCTTTCTGTTTTATAGGTTGGTTTCGGAAAACTCTTCTGCAGAAATCCGCAGCCTTGAGCTTGCGCACGCCAAAACCCGATCCGGATGTCGACCCATGCGTGAGCAACAAGAGTTTAACGATTTGTAAACTATGACGCCTCAGCCTCAACCCTCGTAACCCCTCGTACAGTTCAGGCCGCTGGTGACCGCAAGACCTTCCGATGCTGTTGCCTGCGGCGCCGAGATTATGCGGTCAACCAGCAGGTCAACAAGAGTGTTCGGGGCGTCTCGGATTTAGGGTGTAGGAGTCTACAGCGCATAGAGCAGAGTTTAAAAGAAACTGTGGTTCCAGGGGATATGGCTAGGGGTGTGAGGGTTGACACGGGTTAGAAATGCAGCAACAGGACGAGGCATGGTTGAGGCCTTGATGGCTAGCTGTAGAAACCAATGTGGAGAGTGCCCGCTGGAGTCTGATATGAATGGAGTTACACGGTAGGAGGCAAATGACATGCAAAAATTTCGGTGTTGGGTTGGCGATGTGCGTTTCTGTTTGGAAGAGCAGACATGAGGCCAACGCAGTTCTCCGGCCCTGGCTGAGCCATATTGAATCAAGCACATGAGCTTGTTCCATCTGTCCAAGCAGATCATCGAAGCAAGCAGGGTTCAAGACCAAGCTCAATCCAAACTTCGGGTGCAGCATGACTTAGCATGACCTACCTGATTTACAGGGCAGCTTTCCGCACATCAAAACCACCTCATGGCATCCATTTTATGCGGCCCCTGGTGCAGCCAGCCTCCAAGCAGCCACCGCGACCTTCTCTTCGTGCCTTGTCACGGGATCTTAAGCAGTAGACTACTGCAGGGTGTTGGGTCTGCTACACTGTAGATATAGGAGGGAACTTTGACAGATTCCGAAGGACAGACTTATTCACACCCCTGGTTGTACCCAGAGCCGCATCAGGTCTCCAAGGTTTGTAGCCTCTGGTGGGTAAGGGAAGTCGGCAAAGTTCTTCCGGTCGTTAGTTATTCCGGCCCCTAGCTCCGCATTTTCTGCAGCACTCCTTGGCTTGTGCGGTGTAGTAGTGTAGCGTATGGTTCAGTTGCCGAGGAGAATGCGCTCCGATGCAGAAGATCCGAGCGAGGACGAGCATGGCCGGACTCCAACTCGCGCGGAAGCTCGGCGGAAGCAGACTTGAAAGCGGAAACCCTGCCCTATACAAAACCTAATGAATGCACCCTAAAGCCTAGAGCCTTGAATCCCGCAGCATGTACTGGATGTAGACCTAGGCACCCGCACCCAAAAGCAGAAGAGCCGTGAAACTCACATTTCGACTTGAATGACATTTTTGTACAACATGTTTGTTGTAAAAATATAGCACATGTAGGTTTATGATTATAAAGTTATTTCAATATTCATGTGTAAACAAACAGATACACAGATACATACATACATACATATTTATTTATATATTACATGCATTTGGTGCCTGTGTATATATATATATATATGTATATGCGTGTGTATGCAAGGGTTTATACTTATATGCAGGGAGTATCAACCTGTGTAGAAAGGAGACTCCTTTGTCGCCAGAAGACTCGACGCCTCATTCTCCAGAGGCTCGGCCTTGTCAAGGTAGAAGGATGCTTTCTGTAGGATTTTAGTTGGGATTCCCCTCCTAAGTTACTAAGATTCATATCCTACACGTTTAGGATAAGACCTGTGGCTTCGCAAGCCCAAGCTGAACACCTTGTGAGTGCAGGCCGGTGTAGGAGAAGCCACCAAGTTGCACGCACAGGCAGCAGATGCTGCCGTTGACCAGCTTGGCTCTGAGACATGGAGGTTTGCACAAACTAACAAAGCATTTAGGTGTTATTAGGGTACCTGGGGCTTGTAAAATGGGACCCTTAAATCCCTTACAGGGCGAAAAGAGTTTGGAGACGTGTCCCTGCAACGGATGGGAATGCGCGGGGAGGAACCGTGCAGGAAACCAGGATTAAGCACAACACGACGCCTATTCATCCCGATCGGCCTACGCCTTTCAACAGATACCTGCACCTTAGTCATTGCAGCAACACAAGCACCCAATCGTGGATACATGTGTGTATGTAAGCATGCATGCTTGCGTGCATGCATGCATGCATGAAGGGATCTGTAAACGTACGTTCGTACGTACGTACATATGTATGTATATGCATTATATATGCACGGGCTTTTTGTATCTACATGCACGCATGCACATTGCCCTTGACCCTGAGACCCTCTCTGTCTCGTCTCGCCCTTTGCTTTTTCTTTGGTTGCGCACGCACACATACACACACACACAGACATTCCCTCTCGCGCTCTCCCTCCCTCTCGCTGTATGCAAAGAAATAATCATACAGATGCACAGACTTGCATATATACGTATGTACATATTTTTACATATACCCAAAGGGTCCTAAGTACTGTTATGGGGCATAGTTCCACAAATCATAATAGTAATTCCTAATATAGGATCCCTACATTCTACCATAAAGGTACTTTGGACCCTTTGGGATACACCATTACATTTATACACTCATACATATACATACACACATACAGTTTACATAAGACTACACACACATATATATATATATATATGAAAATATGCACACCTATACATTTATACATTGGTACATGTGTGTATATATATATGCATCTATATATATATATATAAACACATACATGTACATATATATATATATATACATAATTATGTTTTATACACATACATACCTATAAACAAACAAATAAATAAATAAACATATATATATATACACATACATGTCCATATATGCTTATAGACGTATACACATATACGCATGTACGCATATATACATATACATGGAGCGAGAGAGAGTAAGGCGAATATTTTGTATGCTCACATGTTTGTAGATGGTTGTATGCGCAGATCATAAGCACGTCTGAAGTCAGAGAAGTCGCTGCGAGGCCCGCAGCTGAGGACGCTGGGGAGGGCGAGGAGGACAGGGAGTGGACCACAGTAGGCAGTCAGGAAGGCCGTGATTAGAAATGCTCAGGCTTTTGGGACTATACATAAATGTTTTTGTATGCAGGAATATGTATATCTGCATACAATATACTGCATGTATGTGTGTGTATATATATATATATATGTACGTACACATGTGTATATATGTAAATATATATATATATATATATATATATATATATATATAATACGTACACAGCCTGGAACAAGAGCTCGTGATTCTCCACAGGAGGACGGGGACGGAAAGAGGCGGAAAGACACACCCGAGGGCCTGGTCTGGGTGGCTCGGCAGCGCAACAGTGTAACTGTTGGGTTTCACTGTGTAGTGTAGGGTTTCTGATGGTCGGGGTTTAAAGTAGATTCCCCGAGCGATAAACCTCTTCAGTCTAAGTCGTCTAACATGAAGATACCGACAGGTATCCCAGCTGGGAAGATTTATTCAAGGGTCTTCACCAGGGTTTCAAGTTTAGGGTTTGGAGGTACTTTGGCGCAGACAGGTTTGAGGCTGAGGGTGCAGTGAGTCGCAAGTTGTTCGGAATGTGCTGCGTGGGTTACAAGGCAAGGTTTTCAAGAAGACTCCAAGGTCGGTAGCGAACAGGACCGGTATTTCACGGCTTGATGCAGGTTTTGTGATGTTCTTAGTTGTAAAGGGCTTGAATCTAAGGTTTAATGGTTCAAAAGTTTAGTGTGTGTACGTGCGGTACAAGGGTGCAGAGATTCAGTGGGTTTTGAGGTCACAGCTTGTGGATTTCAAGCTTGGTTTCAGATTAAAGGATATTGGAGGTCTCTTACAGCGAGGGGTTATTTAAGTTTTGGGGTGTTGACGTGGCTTTTGTTAGTGGCCCGTACTGTGACATAAACCCTCTCTATCTAGCCAATACATTTTGCACCGACAGTTGCAGCAGAGA